TTGTCAAAGTTCTGGACGATGCCGCTGGCAAGGCACCGAAGGTTGCGAATAGCAACCAGCACATCGTTCAAGAGAAGACAACGACCTCTACAGAACAAAATCCCATCACCCAATGCCGGAGATGTTGCTGGTGTTGGCTCTGATCATGCACTCGGTCATAGTCGTGCCAAATTCCCTGAACATCTCGGGGAGATCCGTTGGAGTTCCACCAGGAGCAGCACCAGGAGCAGGGGGGGGACCAGGAGGAGTCACCGGGACTGGGACCTCCACCGTTGCACCGAGCTCTTTCCAGAGAGCATTCGAATTGAACTTGATAGTGGCCTTGACTAGAGCCGAATTGGGGTCATTGAAAGTCATCTGGATGGCCGCAGCCTGAATGGATCGAGGGTCCACGAGTTTGTGCTTGTCGGTCCACGAGGTGATGTCAACGGAATCCATCTCGAAGAGAGTTCCAGAACCGGTGACACAACGACTGTCACAATGCTTGGCCAAGTATTGCTGGGAACGGAACCACTCTTGAGCATAGGGCCAATCTGACACCGTTGCCGGATCACAGTCGATGGTGGCAGCAAAGTCGAACTGAACTCCCCTCGGGAGTGGTAAGACCATTGGTAGCAGCACCAGCCAGGGCTGGGTCTTTGCATGGGCAGTGGCGCCCTCGAACTGGAGGGCTTCCATGCCAACCACAACTGGAGTCTCCTCCGTACTGGCAGAAGCAGCCAGCTCTGAGGCCGGATTGGCTTCAAAGTGGACCAGTTTCAAATCGTCAACCACCTGCTTGGAGGCCAAAGAGGTGACGAAACCAGTAAATGCATCATGGGAGACGGGATGCTCTCACCGATGGTGTCACTGATGCTGGCAATGACAGAGACGACATTGTCCTTCTCTGCCAAAGTCGGTGCAGTCAAGGGCTGGACCTTGCCGTCGATGATACACACCGAATGGAGGGAAAACGACTGGTTGAGCCACACGGCATCAAGGCTCTAACCACTGAATCCCATGGGATCAAACAGGTCCTGGAGCTTGGTGGTAACAAACTGGTGGGTGGCTTCATCAGTCAACTCCAAGATAGCCTTGGAGACGGACTTGAGCTCGTGGGCCTTGCCACGAACAAGAAGGTCAGCAGACATGGCTGGGGGTGGTGCTGGAAGGAGTGTTGAAGTGTCGTCGGTGGGCCAAGTCAATGACTCAATGAACTGTCAGCAACAATGCTTTTGGGAGCGGTAGCTAACAACACTCAGGAACTGGATAAAGGCAGGACCAGCAGCAAAAACACTAGGCAAACAGAACTGGGGCTGGGGCTGGACAAAGCAAGGACTCACAACAAGAGGACAGCAACTGGAGGGGAGGCAACAACTGGGAGGCAGGCAACTGGAAGGCAACAAGAGGCAAGATGCAGTAGTCCAAATCAGGGAAGGCTTGTTGGAAGGCTTTCAGGATTGGGATTATGACCTCATAGTGTTGCACTGCATAGCCTGGAATGGGAGGAACCAGAGCCACCACCACAGTAGCTCAGACTGGTACTGTTACTGTAGGATTGCACATGGCTTGAACCCAATCCAAGAATCCAAAAGGCTACCAACCAAGTAGCTTTGAACAGGAGATCCATTGCAATGAGTCAACCTCAATCTCTGACACATGTGCCTAGTCAGGTACCAGCCTGTCAGGATATCAATGCAAGGTGTGGTGTGGCTTTGTAATGTGTGGTGTGGAACAGTGCAAGCCACTGATCACCACAAGCCACCACCTGTCTCGCGGCGCGCCAAGTCACCGGTGGGTGGAAGACTTAAGGGTCGGGCAAAGCCTTAGAGGGCAAAGTCAAAGACTAAGAGGCCTCCATGCTCTTTTCAAGCATCGACTTCCCGCTGGACTTTTCATGCATTGACTTAAAAAATTTCGAAAGCATGGATGAAAACACGTCACGGAACGTGACTTCATCAAGTCCGGTCACGACTGACGTCATCGGCAACGTCAGTCGGATTCTGGAACAAAGACATAGCGGACCGCCAATCTTGCCAAGAGCGCAAGACTTAGAGGTCGATCAGTCGGAGACTAAGGGGGCGATCCATTGTTGTTGTTGTTGTTGTTGTTGTTGTTGTTGTTGTTGTTGTTGTTGTTGTTGAAATCGCGAAATCGCGAAGATCGACCATGGCCCTGGAGTCGGGGCACACGGCAACAACATTGGCCGGAGGAGGTGGACTCCAAAGCCAGTTGGCCGAGGAACTCCAAGGCGAGACGAAGCACCAGTTGGTGTCGTGGAGGTTTGGTGGGAGCACCAGTCGGTGACTCGCCGTTTGTGGCTAGCGAATCACCAGTTGGTGAATGCATCAAGGCCGGAGGGAAGCACCAGTTGGTGTCGCTCGAGATGGGGTGACTCGCCGTTTGTGGCTAGCGAAGCACCAGGTGGTGAACGCATCATGGCCGAGGAAATGGTCATCGTGAAAAACACACGAAAAGACCTGTCGATGGATGGAACGATCGGAAGATCATGTCAATATGGGTCTATAGAGGTTGTAAACCTCCCCTCCAGACTAGGATCCAGGCAAAGGCAATGGCCCTGGTTATACCAGAGATGCCTGCTGCATGTATCACAGACAGACCTACTTCCATTCAATTTACCCTCCGTCGGAGCCAGACCCTCATAACTGACCATAGATATAATCCCCCATGTCGGCCAGCCAAGCCGGCCCATTACGCCGCCGACTGCCAGGGAGGTGGTGAGCTGTGCATGTCGCTGTTGTTGCTGTTGTTGTTGCTGCGTTTTTTATGTCCCGACCTGGCTGTAGAGCTACCTGCTTTGATCAAGCGGAAGCCGGTGTCGGTCTTGTATACTTCGATGTGATACCCGCCGGGCATCTTGGGGTCCAGCTTGATATTCCAGAATGGCCATTGGCCAGGGCGGGCTTCTTGGATGGTACCATTGTGTCCATTGTACTTGTCGTTCCGGGAGATGATGATGCGGTCGACCTTCTTCCACTCTCGGTAGGGTTTGACAAAGGCACGGCTCTTACGGGGCTGAGTGGGTGCTGGTGTTGCGGATGGCGTTGGGGTAGGCACCGCATCACGCAGTTTGGCTTCCAGCTTCAACTTGGCCACTTGTGCGGTGAGAATTGACAGGTCGTCTTGCACCAGATAGACCGAGTCTGAGATGTCTTGGACCTGTTCGGTGAGTAGTTCCAAGTCGTCACAAGTATCGTACCATGTCTCTGAGTCACTCATGATGGACTAGGTGGTGGTGTTGTGGAGATCGGTTGCAGTTGTAGTAGTCGTTTTTGGTAAAGTGAGGACCGACACTTGATGTGACTGTAAGATTTGAATAGTCTTGGTTGACACGACCAGCGCGGGTAACGCGTGGAGTGTGGGCTCCCTAAGTAACCTGGTTCGTTGGAGATGGCCGCCGTGCCGTGTCAACGGTGGTTCCTTTGCTGGTGCCTGCCATAAATAATTTTGTCGCCAGCGGCAGCGGGCCAGTGGTGTGTTCTTTCGGTGTGCCCCAATGCGAACTCTCGGTGGGACAGCGTGATCGATGCTTCCATCGCTCACCATATCCGGTAGTACCTTTTGTGTGGCTGACAAAAATGGATCCCATCGAAACCATTTCCCAGTGATGCCTCCCTTGAAGTGAAACGATTTCATTGAGTGGCAATGATGGAGTTGATTGCGTAGAGCAAGCTTGGAACCATCGTGTAGTCTTCACGGTGGTGTCGTTGGTAGTCGTTGTGGAGCTCACAAATATGTCGAAGCAGCCACAAGTGCAGTTGCTAATCAAAAGACCAAGTTGATTTCCTAGCTGAAGTTGTTGGAGCTGCTTTCCTCGCCAGTCTGTCCCCTGAAGAAATTTCCACCATGAACGTTGCACAGTCCCTTCGGGCAACAATTCTACTGCCGTCTCGGACAGCTCCAACCTCGAGGAGATGGACACTTGCGGCTCACGGGTTCCACCCCCACGAGGAGTCCCATGATGAAGAAGAGGAGGAGGATGACAACGGCTCTGACGAGGACTTCGAGGAAGAGGCGTCGGACGAAGACGAAGAGCCCATGTTGGTGGGCATGAAGTCTCCTCCCCCAGAAGTTCCCGCTCCCATCCATCGGGCCACCATGGCGTCATTGACTTTGACGTCTCCAGCTGTTGCTGCCGTGGCCGGTCTGGCTCCTCGCACGGTGCAGACAGCTCGTCGCCGTTGGAATCAGGTTCCATTGTTGCAGTCTCTGCCTCCTGCGACTGTCTCGACTCCGGAGGGTCCCACGCCCGAATCAACCAACGTGGCGGGCCCCACTCCTGGTGTCCCATCGGCCACTGCTGCTCCGGTTCCATCTTGGGAGCTGCGACTACCGGAAGCCGCAAAGCCAAGCGATAAAATGTGGGTTGGATCCATGGGATCAACGTAGTGAGTGTGAGAACAAACTGTCTGTCTTATGTTACTGGTATTCACATGGTATGTGGAACAAGCAAAGATATAGAGAATCTTGGTTGGTACTGGTGAGACACAGACCATAGAGTTTTCACTGTTCCGTACCGGTTCGCGCTTTAACTCCACGAAGTCACTCAGAACGATCCGAACTGTTCCATGGAAGGCCAAAGACTGTACGAAACGTCCGTGCAGTTTTCGGTGGTCACCTGAAAGAAGCTCAAGGAAGGTGCACGAGTTCTTGTACCGGTCACGTACTTTAACTCCACCAAGTCACCTTTCCGCCCTGTGAAGTCCGGATCGATCCTGGAAGTCCCCCGGATCAACTCGAAGACTTAGAGTGTTCCCTCCGAAGACTTATACAAGCGCGCAACGTGTTTATAGTCGTTCCACGTCTTCAGTTGATCAAACCAAGGTTTGGCTGAGACTGCCTACAGGTGCCTCGGGACCAACACCAGAGCCCATCCAGATCCAAGCCCATGGGAACCGCAAGCACAGTACTCCAATAGGGCTCATCAGCACACCAGCAACGATCTTTCTAAGAAAATCAAAATTGTGGAGCTAGATCTAAAAGCAACCTATAAGAGATTTTTACTCGTCAATTTTCTTGATCTCCAACTTGAATGCCCAGTCGATGCCTTTGTAGTCACCGGTGGTACCACCGCACACCCAATCCAGGTTCTTCTTCGTGATCTTGAGCCCATGTTCAAGGGAAGGTTCAATCAGAATGCCATCGTAGAATGCGACAACATGCTGACAGTTGTCTGTTCTAAGCTTGACCAAGACTGGGTGATTCGTGGGGTGTTCGAGTGGATCGAACTCTGGGTCTGACAAAGCAACCTGTGCGCAATCCAATGTGCTACAGATGATACCAACGCTCTTGCTCACGAATTCTTCAGAAAATGTCAAGTACTCAGAACCGCTCGCCTGTTGGGCAAGACGAAGCTGTTTGATCAACCGGCCAAATAGTTTCTTTGCTTTCCTTGTCATCCCAAGCAAATAGACCAAAGAAGCAGCGGTACATGCTATGCATGTCTGTGCGTTTCGTTTCTGGACAAACTCGAGCTCCACCCGTTGATTACCTTTTCCCTGGAAGAAGTCCAAGTCCACATCTTCAGTTGGTGCAGCACAGCCCACCTTCATGAGGCGAAAGATTGGATCCTGCGCTTCTCTTCGCTTGTCAATGTCCTCTTTCAAATCTTTGGACAATGCCTCGACAGTGTCACCAGCTTTTTGCCACTCTGCATTCATGCAGAACTTGTCTTGTGCGTCGTAGGACACATTGATGTCTGCAGCTTGACTAGTAGAGCAGTCTTGCATTTCCACCCCTCCATCGGCTCTTGGTCGTGACTTGGTGAATGTCAGAGTCCTCACAAACAGATACTGGTATTCAACCGGAACGTTCTTCCAGCCACCTGGATTCTGTTGGATGCTCTCCTGAATCAGCCGGTAAGCTCTTGGCATCAACAAGAATTGGATGCACTGATCGCTAAGATGGTACTCCATGATGTCACCGGTTGCACCATAATATCCGATCAACCACTTGGATTGCTGAGCATCCCACCTGATTTGCACAATCACACCTGGTACTAGCAACCTACACAAATCCTCATGTCGAGCATAAGCCTGACAACCTGGCACAGAGGTAACAAAAGGCAAGAAAAGGTGTGTGACATGTGTGGAGCTGAGAACAAGAAGGCGTCAATGACACACTGGCTTCGATCGAAGCTCTAGTTGACTTACAGGCTGGTAGCCCGTTCCCACGGCCTTTATCACGTCCTTTCCGAAGTCGTTTTCGCTCTCGCAGCTCTTTTTTCATTTTATCATGCAGGTCATTCAGCTTTGACAATCTTTCTTTGAAACATGGCTTAGGTGTTCCACCTGCCCCAATTCGTTCCAGTTCCTTTGTCTTACTCTGCTCGTCCTTCATTGCTTGCCACTCACGGCTATCCAATTGCCTGTCATCGTCACTGGGTCCGGAGGCTGGTGCCTGTGTCGATGGCTCAGCTTCACTGCCCAAGGCACTTGCTCTAGCATTGTTATCGTCCGAAATAGCTTCAGTGCCGGCGTCGTCTGTAGCAGGAACCTCGAAGCTACCCGAAGCTCCCAGAGGAGTGCCAAAGTCATCACTGTTTGTGGATCCGGAACCGGATGCTGGTGCATCTGCATCATCACTGTTGGTAGATCCGGAACCGGATGCTGGTGCATCTGTATCGCTGTTGGAGCCAGAAGATTGGTTGTCACCACCACCTCCAGGAGTGACAAGGTCGTCACTGTCGTGAAGGTCATCACTAGAAGACTTGTTGTTTTGATCGGTCAAAGGATCAGTTGCACTGCCCAAGGCACTTTCGATTGCACGTGCAAAACTGTTGTCATCCATGGTTGCAGAAACGGCACGGCTATCATCTGGCAGGGACATTGGCTCGTCATTAGACTTGGTGCCATCCATTGGCTCGTTATCGTCATCTTCCAGTGGATTACGACCATCCTTGGGTGCTCTGGATCCAGACGCATCTTCATCATCATCATCACTACAATCCTTGGGGTTGCCATTCGATCCGGATCTGGATTTGGGAGTGTCCTCGTCGTCACTGGAATCGTCATCATCGTCGTCTCCATCCGGTCTCTTCTTTGCTACGCTACAATCCTTGGGGGCGCCATTCGATCCGGATTTGGGAGTGTCATCATCGTCACTGGAATCGTCATCATCATCATCTCCATCCGGTCTCTTCTTTCCTACGCGACAATCCTTGGGGGCGCCATTCGATCCGGATTTGGGAGTGTCACCCTCATCATCGCTGTCATCCTCATCACTGCCATCGTCGTCACTGTCTTTGTGATGAGACTTGACTCTTCGGGAAGCTCCATCCGTTGGTCTTTTGGCTTTGTGGCCATGCATGCGTGTTCCGTTGTCATCGTCATCACTGTCTTCTGAATCGCTGTCATCCTTCTTTCGGGGATTGAAGTTGTGCTTAGACTTGAGTTTTCGGAACACGAACGAAGGCTTTTTCAAATGATCAGAATTCAATGGTTGTTGTGGTGGGTTGCGTGCCGGAGGAGGCCCATCAAGATTTTGTACTTGACCAGTGAGTGCAAGTCGCCTTCTTTTTGGTGGATTGACTGTTTGTTCTGAATCATCAGCATCCCAAGAGGCAAATGCTGTGCCTCCCAATCTACCAGCAACTCCTGAAGTGGCCCCATCAATATGCTCGCTTCTGCTGTTGTTGTTGTCGTCGGGTGGACCACCCTCGTTTTCCTCGAGACCCAACAAAGGCACGACTGGTCGTTGTTGTAATGCTGGGGAAGGGGAAGCTTGACGTTTCCGAGGATTTTTTCCACCTGGCCCAAGGTATCCAGGCTTTGCAGTTGGTTTTGCGGCCGATGCGTTGGTGTCGTTCGATGTCTCCTGACCTTTGTCTTTGTCGTCGGCAGTTGGTTTTTCGCCCACGTCCTCGTTGTCCATTGATGATGTCTTGTCATGCTCCAGAGTTTCGTCATCGGTCTTGTGGTTATCATGAGTGATATCAGAAACATGAGTGATTCCAGATACATCAGAGATTCGTGGATTGGATCCTTCAACCAAGGCACGGGCGGGTGTCTTCTCAAAATCAATAGATTCATCCAGGTTGCCAACAGGGGATTCGGGCATGAGTGGAATATCACTGCCCACAAGTGGATCATCGTTTGAATTGAAAGAGTTGAAGTCCAAATTTGAGCTTGAAGAACTTTCATTCTGCTGGAGTTCATCCCTCACAGGAGGTGAAAGTTGGTTGGGTGTCAGACTCTTCGAATTGACCAGGCTTTCAGATTGCTCGTCATTCGAAGTGAAAGAGCTGAACTCCAAACTTGAAGAACGTTCATGTTGCTCCTCTGTTGATGTGGCAGAGACATGCAGGTTCGCCGAATCATTCAAAGAATCCCTGTCGCCACTTTCTCTTGTTGTTGGTGCTGCTGCTGCTGCTGCTGTCGGAAGCGCGTCGCCACTTTCTGCATCTTCCAAGTCGTCACCATCTTCCTTGTCCTCGACAACAGTTGTTCTTGTTGCTGGTGTTGTCGGCTGTGCTGGTGCAGGTGCTGCTTTCAAAGTAGCAGGAGCCGTTGCAGCAGGTGCTGCTTTCAAAGTACCAGCTGTCGGACGAGCAGAAAGCTCAAGATTCCATCGATGTAATATGCTGAAATCAAGATCGCCTGGCCTTATCGATCTAGAAGTCCACCGATTTCGTCCTCGAGTTCGAGCGCGCGGAGGTGAATCGAATATGCTGAAATCGAATTCGCGTGGATTTAGCAATCTAGAAGTCCTTGGTGGCGGAATGCGTGGCTCCGATTGTGGTTCGCGGGATTGAAGAAATCTTTCTAATGCTTCCTGGAGTTCATCCCTCACAGGAGGTGACGGTTCAGGTGAACGTCGGTTCAGTGTTGGAGGGGACGGTGGGTTGTTTCTGGGATGAGCTGTTGGCTCTGAAGCCCTCCTGCGTTTGGTGGGAGAAGGAGAAGTTTCTAAATCTTCTTCATCCTGGACATTTTGGGAACGCCTGCGTTTCAAAAAGCGTCTTGCAGCTCTTGCAGCTCTTGCAGCACCTCCAATCACAACGGGAAGCATGCCAGGGATGCCAGGGCCAACTGGGGCGGAAGAAAAGGATGGGCTTCTGCCGAGGCTTGGTGGAGGTGGCATGGCCGATGAATGAGGGAAAGGATCCACAAACTCCACTCTTTGGCGACGGCGTCCATTTTGAGAAGCATCAAAATCTGTGGGAAACAAAGCTGACATGTCCATGGAGGTATCATTCATGGTGTGGTTCGCGCCTGATGCAAAGGACAAATTTCCAGGAAGATTTCCAAAACTTATCCAGCTGCCAAAATTGCTCCATCCACCAACATTTTCTCGAAGAAGCTCCAAAGTATCAGTCGATCCATGCAAAAGACGCATTGTAGTGTTGTTGCCACCAACATTTTCTCCAAGAGGCTCCAAAGTATCAGTCGATCCATCCAGCGTGGAAAAGAAACGCTCGAGATATCCTGCAGTGTCCATGGACTGCTCGGAGGAAGGGTCAAGTCCTAAACCAGGGCCAGAGCGGTTAACTGCCACTGCATCATGTTGCTGTACGGGCCATTCTTGTTCCGTCATCTCATCTCGAACAATCCACATAGTCTCTTCACCAATTTTAGTGACAGCATCGGTGTCGCTCAGGGTATCTCCAACAATAAGCAAAGTCTCATCACCAACAAGATGTGTGGCAGTCGTGGCAGGCTTGGCAGCAGCAGAATCTGGGACAGTATTGTTTTGGCTCGGCAGTTGTAGCGGGCCTTGGGTTGGGGGAGCTACTTTTGTGGGTGCATCGTTCTTGGTTTTCTTTGCAAAGAATGCTTCTGTCTCCGCAAGGATTGCTTCTGCAGGGGTGACCGATTTGATGTGATCCAAATTGATTTTTCCTTTAGGGCCCCGACGCTTTTGGCGACGCCGACGCCGACTTCGTCGTGTTGGAGCAAAGGATCCAACTTGTGCGGTCGATACAGGTTTGGAAGATTCGGCTTCGGCATCGTCTTGGCTCTCCAAAATGGTTCCAGAAGCTGACATGTCCACGGTGGAATCATTCATCGAGCTGCCAAGAGTGCTCGATGGAAGCAGGTCAAAAGTATTAATCGATACATCGGCTCCCTCTTCAAAGGAAAAGCCACCCAGAAGATGAGAAGTCGTGTTGTTGCCTCCGTGCATAGAGTTTCCATCAACAGTAGTATCTCGGACCGAATCGACATCTCGGACTGAATCAGAAGAAATGGTTGACTGCTCGGAGGAAGGGCGATTGAACAGATCGAACAGTGCAGCTGGGTTGTCCAAGATGTTCGTTGGTGGTGGTGGTGGTGGATGTGGCAGCCCAGAGATGCCGGGGAAGTCAGAGTCAAATGGGCAGGGAGAAAAGGACCCAATGCGAGATACCCGTGGTGGAGTTGATGGCTCCAAGAGACCTAGCTGTGGCACAGGGAGATCTAGCTGGGAGATGGTGGTCGTCGTTCCATCAACATTGCCCGACGTGGCAGTTGGTTGCCGGCCCAAAGTGGTCGACACAGCAGCAGGTTGGGCTGGCCTGGATGAAGCTCGGACAGTATTGATAAAACGATGCAAATGGCCACGTCGGGACTGGAGAGAATTCAAAGTCGAACCTGAATTGGTAGGATTTTGAATTGTGGGGCTCGCTGGGTCGGATGCAAGAAGCCGTTGCCCCACCAAATTGGGAGTAGCAGCTTGGAGTGCACCGGTCACTGTCGTGGCAACATTCGACAAAAGATTTCGACTTCGACTTGGAGGCTTTGCATCCGGCTTGCTTGCTCCATTGATTGTAGTATCTGTTCCCTAAGAAAAGCAGAATAGAAAACAAACAGTTAGACTTGAATCGAGAACAAAGCAAAGCAAAGGCGGCATTTTGCATAAACACTGGTGTATAGTACCGTACGTACCTGTTGGGGAGATGACCGACTCGAGCTATCCGGCAATGGGGCTGCTCTTGCTTCGAAGGGAGACGTGTCGGGCGACTTGGGTTTTTCCACGGGAAGGCGGGTGGGCGTGGTTACAACAGGCGAGTCCTTTGTAGGGGAAGGACTTAGAGGAGGACGTCTTTGCTGGTCCATGAAGGAAGGTTGTGGAAGACGGCTTTGGTTGGCAGGAGCAGGAGACTGATTCACAGCCGAGCTGGTCAGCCGATTGCTGTTTGTAATGGTTTGCAATCCATTCATAGAGAATGATGCTGGATTATTTGTCGATGCCGGTCGTGAGTGAGGTCTTGGAGTTGTGACAAAGGGAGACTTGTTGGGCAACTTGGATCTGTCCACAGGAAGGCAGGTGGGCGTGGTTACAATGGCCGAGTCCTTTGTGGGGGAAGGACTATTTTGTAGAGGGGGGCGACTTCGGTTGTCACGAGCAGGAGACTCATTGATAAAACGATGCAAACCACCATGCCGGGACTGGAGAGACTTCATATTCGCTGACACAGGCTTGGTGCGATCCAAAGAAGCCGTTTCGGAAGGATCCAAAGTGCTAGCATCTTTTGAAGGATCCAAGGAATCTGTCTTGGAATCATGTTGGGAGGCGGTGGATCCAGCTTCCACAGTAGCCTTGATGAGGGTATTGTCTTCGGCATTGTCTTGGCTCTCCAATATGGTCTCGGCAAGGTTCTCCGTGGCTTGGTCGGAAGGTGAAACTTGCAAGTTGGGAGTACCATTTAAGAGGGCATGAGCAAGCTCTTGAATCATAGGACTTGCGTTAGAACTCACGACAGGGGGTGGACTCCACCTATCCCGTAGTAGAGGGTGTACGGGTGGCAGGGGACGTGTCGGTGGACGTGTAGGTTGAATGGCTGCGGCTGCATCTATTGGTCGGCTGGGGTGACTTGTATCTGTTCCCTAAGAAAAGCAGAATAGAAAACAAAGGGTTAGACTTCAATCGAGAGCAAAAGCAAAGCAAAAAAGGCTGCATGCATGCATGCCACTTTGGTTCAGCGAAGTGAAGAAGGATAGGCTTTGTAAAGTTTCCACCCCCTCCACTTCCAACGCCGTTTATGTTGACTCGCAAGGAGCAAAGAATTACTGATGGCACGCATGCATGCGAACACTGGTGGACCGTACCTGTTTGACGCGATCAGCTGACCGACTCGTGCTATTCGAAGAAGCATGCTTGCCAGTGGACTTGATCTTGTTGTTGTGCTTTGGCGCGGCAACGGCTGACTGACTGGTGCTCCTTGACTGAGAAGAGGAAGCTCTTGCATCGTTGACGCGATCAGCTGACTGACTGGTGCTCCTTGACTGAGAAGAGGAAGCCCTTGCATACTGGGATCGAGCAGGAGGATGCCGATAATTGGTTTGATTCTGTTGAGACCGTCCATGCTGACGCCAATCACGGTCGGCCATTGTCCAGTTGGGTTGCTGATGATTACTGGACCGTTGCTGATGGTGCTGAGGATTGTGAACCCGACGAGGTCGATTCTGATGATGCTCACGCCGACCACGGTGATGGTGATGCTGAGACTTTGCGCCCATGGACTTGTTGTATTTTCGATTATTCTGCTTGCGGTCAACGGTTACAAACTTGTTGTTGTGATTTTTGTTGGAATTTGGCACGGCAACGGCTGACCAACTGCTCGATTGAGATGATGATGTTCTTGCGACAGGAGGCTGACTTGAATTCCGGTGCTCATGAGGAGGTCTAGAGACGTTTAGAGAAGGAGGCGGCGCCATTGTCAAGTTGCTCGAATTGCGCGGATTGCTGCTTGAAACGGTTTCTTTTGGATTGAGATTCTTTTCGGAGGCTGGAAGAGCGCTTGCAACAGCTGGGGAAGGAGGACCTCGCTTGGCGTTCGCAGGATTTGAGTTTTGGGGAAGTTTAGGAGGCTGGGCCATGGTAGAAGATGCTGGAGGCTGGGCCATGGTGGAAGATGCTTGAGTGCTGGCAACGTCTGGGAAAGTTCCGAAGAGAGGAGGAGTGCTTTCAACGGCTGGGTCCGTCATGGAGGAAGGAGGAGCACTGGAGGAAGGAGATGCTTGATTTTGAGGAGGAGGAGGAGGAGGAGGAGGTTGCTTGGCGTTCGGAGGAGGTTTGGGAGGAGGCTTTCGAGGCGGCGTCATGGCTTGTTGTTGTTTGTTGTTGTAAAAGGGTAAAAAAAACAAGAGGTGTTTTCTGACTTGATGAAGTGCTTTTTGTGAGAGACTGAGAGAAACTTTTCACCAACCGAAACTTCACAAGAGGAAAACATCACACCAAAAAGAAACGGCACCAAATGAGAACCATTTTGAAAAAATCGCCCATGGTTTCATTTTTTGAAATAAAACAAAAATCAAAATCAAAATCAAATTCTTCACGATTGAATTCCAAAGTTCCAGAGTTTGTTTGGAGACAAGGGTAACGTCCTTTGGTAGGGTTAACCCCAATGGTGTACATGTATTGTGGATGAACTCGATGGTGTGCCGTTGGATGAACCGCTGGTAAGATGGAGGCATCCTTCCTTCCTTCCCTTTCTTCGACGGCAGGTACTGTAGAGTATCCAAGAACCACCATAGTGTCATGCCTTGATGCAGAGTTTCCAAGAACCATCATGTCATTATCCAACTTGACTGTCTAGTAGCGGTCAAGCAGAGGCCACTGTGTCAACAGGACCAACAGGAAGCGCCATCTTCTTGTCTTCGGTAACAGTATCTGGCGACAGCATCAAAAGTGGTTGAGGTTGGAGTCGAGGCGCTCAGTCAAAGATTTGCTGACACCCCGATCTTCTCGGAAATTAGGTTGGTGTTGCGTCAGTTGAGTGACGCTTAATAATTAACTTGTCAAATTACAGCCGGGTGATGGCAATCCGAGCCACAATTTGGACCTGAACCCATAGCTGGTACTACCGGGTAAAAAAACCCGAAGTAAGGCCAATAATAGGCAGCACACCCATAAGATAGGTTCGAAACTCATTTTTAACAATATGGCATCTCTGTTGCACCAATCACTCCATCTCTCCTCTAGCTAGCTATTGGTATGATTGACAAATAAATTCACTGGTTGCTGCCGACTCATTGCTCGTTCCACCCCTTCTTCCGTTCAAGAGCCCAGCATCAAGATTTATTTCGTGAATGAGGTATTCTCAGAGGTCACACAGAATACCACTCTCAGTAGCCCCAACTGGCTAGGCGGTAATAGTCGAGCAACACGAAACTCTTCTTGTTGCTGTTGGTTGGTTGTTGGTCTTGGCGACCATATCCCAGTGAATTGTCATGATGTGTTTTTCTTCTACAAAAGTGGATTGTTCCTCCCTAATGGTCTTGGCAACGGCGGTCAGTTCTTTTCAGAGGCCCAGAGTTGCCGTTTGGTGGCACGCGTTTTCAGCACCACCCACAGTTCAGATTTGGCTAGGCCAAAGATTTGACGCCCCCCTTGGCTGAAGGACAACTGATCAATGTGTAGAGTGAAATAAAACTGAACTATGAAAGCGGAATCTGTTGTTGCATTCGACCAGAGGTTGATTGTTGAGACGGGATAACTTCGAATCGAATGGTGGCGTGTATTCTTCGTTCCGAGGTACGGAGTGAGCAATCGCAAGCTTCCTCCGGTGGATTGGTCTTGGTCCCACAACTGAAAGTCGACCACTTGGTTTTCGTCGTGCGTCGCTTGGAAAAGGGCCGATCGAATGTAGTACAGTAGCTGATGAGCCCGTAGTTTTTCCATTGCTCCTCTTGCCACCCTTTCCTGTATCCTGCCCTCCTCTGGAACCGATCCACACCATTGGCAGTCCACTCTAACCCCCAGATACCGGTAGTAACTTCGGAAATACAATTGGCAATCAGAGCCGCAATAGTGGAACCGGCAGGCAGCACACCCAATAAGATAGTTTAGAAACTCTTTTCTAATAATACAATAGGGCATCTCTGTTAGCCTCATGAACAAAATCAATCTGAAGGTCCCACACCTGTATGCCCATCCGTAGATGGCCTGGTGTATTGTAAAGATGTGTTTCTACTACAAAAGTGGTCTTCATAGATCGCCATGATGTGTTTTCTACAACAAAGGATTGATTCTGTTCCGCTCCAATGGTCTTGGCAACGGCGGTCAGATTCTTTTCAGAGGCCCAAAGTCACTTCGTTGCTGTCGGTGGTCGTGGTATCGGTCGTTCCATCACTTCCATGGATGCTGTTCAAACCCTTGGCTTTTGTTGGTTGATGTTGATACGTTCAGCGACTAAGTACTCCAGTGATGGAATTGTCAGTGAGTGAGAACGGAGATTGGACGGGTGTACGGTATAACTCCAAGTCGCACGTCTTCCAAGGATGTACCGAGAGATCACTCCGAAAAGATACCGTTTGGTTCTTGGACCGTGGCTTTGTTCTTTGAAAGATTCATTCTTCATTCCAAGGTTCATCGTTGGTTGCCACGCATTCGTTCATTCATTCATTCACAAGCTTCGCTTTAATACAATACGTCTTCGTCCCGAGTCAACATATCCACCGATGCAGGTATACTCTCTTAATGCTGTACCAAGAGTGGCAGGGAATAGATCCAGTCAGAGTGGAAAGACGAACAACATTGCACAACCAGGTAGCTTGCTCCCCACCACGTCATACCGTACCTACTTCGTTGATTCGATTCGTTGTCGTTGAGCTTGGATCGGCACTCTGGTGGTTTCACGTGGCAGTACTGTACCGTGGTAGGTGGCCATATTTCCTCGTGAGCGGGGTGTTTGCTGAGCTTGGTCGGTGCTCTGGTGGTGTGGAGACTTGCGGTAGTAGTGAGAGTTGCATTTCAATGGTCTCCCTCCTTCAATCATTCATGTACCACCATTGCATTGACGGCTGCGTGGTGTTCGATCGTCGACGTTTGCAATGTGTTGGATGGTGCAACGGTGTAGGCAAATACGGAGGGGTGTATGCAATGGGTGCAACGGTTTTTATGGCAAAATGTGGAGTTGTGGCCTGGAAGGATCAGCATGCCAATGGACTGGCTTGCCAGGAGGGGCTTGCTGAGATTCAAATTTGAAGTACAGTACCTAGAGTATCGTATCTTGGTCCCGGTATCTGACCAGTATGTCAGGTAAAGCTGTTATGCGGCACGAATTCAGAAGCTGGACTGCATGCTCTCACTTTTCGGCTTCAAAAAGTTTCCATGTCCGAGCATACTACTCCCTGGTATCTCCCCACGGCCGATCTACGTACCGGTATCATACCGGTATCTATCTATCAGAGCTACTACATACTGAGTAGATCTAGCTAGCAAGTAGCCACAGTGTAGTAGCGGTAGTCTACATTGTACCATAGGAGCTACCGTGCCGGCAGGTGCAATACATTTTAAAAAATCCTGGTGTAGAGTGGTCGGCTCCCCCGCTCTTTTCAACACCACTTGAGCTACTGTACGCATAGAGTCGAGACGAGTCTAGCAAGACTATGCATACCGCTACCGGTAGCTGCGAACGTAACAACACCCATGCATGCATGGGACATGGATACGGTACATGTAAGTACAAAGGAATACTTCTAGGCTAGTAGCTACATGTACTTACTCAGAACTCCGGTGTAGTTGCTTTTTTCGGCTGCCTTTGCCACTACAGCGTAGAATAATAACGGTACGACGACTGGCCACAACTTACTGTGGAAGCCCTCTGGACATATCGACATATCTACGATCAGGCCTCGAATGCGTGTTAGCAAGGCAGTGAAATAGCAGTGTTTAGCTATCGTCGATTACGCTGGCATGTTTTAAGGGCATGTTTATTTATGGGCATGTCCAATCTTTTAAGGGCATGTTCTCTGGTGTTTCAATGAAGGCTTAAAGGCATGTTTTGAGGCATTAGGGGCATGTTTTAAGGGCATGTTTATTTAAGGGCATGTTTAAGGGCATGTTGAAGATTAAGGCATGTTTCAAACCGTCCTCAGTCGTGGGAAGTTCAATTTTTTAAAAATCCTGAGTTCAAACCGTCGGACGGTCCAGCGTACGATGTACCAACGTTCAAAACTCCCTGATCAGGGTGCGGAATAACACACTGCTCGAAAACTCCCTGATCAGGGTGCAGAATAAGTTTAATCCTGAGCAGGACAAGGTGTGACTAAGATGAGGGACTCAACGTCATCCGCCTATTGAGCGTATCGTACTTCGGTCCACAACGCAATCGGCAACCCATCATCGTCATCCAGTAAGCCGCCACCACCTTGAAGTGGCTTTGGGTATAACCCCATCAACCCCACAATCACAAGGACAAGGACAGAACACAATTTTCTGTTGCATTGGCGATATCACATTTGTTCTTTTAAAAAGCAGTCCATCACAATGCGTTTCTCCAGTGCGTTCCTCTTCCTCTCTCTAACAACGGTAAGTCGGCTAGCCGTAAGCGCTACCAGCTCAGATACGGTTGAGTTTTCGTTGTGTTTGTACTGTATGTAACAACGATATTCGAATTGAAGAGGAAGCAGATCATGCATGTGGAGACTCCAGATGCACCCGAAATGGTCGCTAAGCACAGGGTATCTTGGGAGCGCTAATGCGAAGTTCATGGATCCAAGCAGGAAGCAGGAAGAATGGCGTTTGGAAGGGCTCTTGGATGTTGTTCCGTGGAGACGACTTCAGAAGTTGTTCGACCCACATCAAGCCCCAATGAACAGCAAGGTCCTTCTTGTTACGATAGCTCTATTATCTCGCCATGACAGGCTACCCAAGCACTGTTGCGCCGGACCTGGCATGGCCCATGACCGCATCCATCATCCATCATGGTGGATTTGTTCTTCCTGAATGTCAGTCGACTCATTCGACTAAATTTGCTTCCGATCGCGCGTGCATCGCGCGAACTTCCAAGTTCAACAACCGGGTTCCGTATCTTTGAAGTTGACCTTTCATCCATGCCTCCTGGCTGGAGCTCTTGGTTTGAGAATCATGTTCCGACCTTGCCTCGAACCTAACTTGTATTGGACCGCCTTGACACCTTGCTGTATGACGCAACACTGACCAGATTTGTTGCTTGTTCTTCTTCTTCTTGTCAATCGAATCTTTGGCAAATCACCTCAACTCTTGACTTGACTGACTTGGTCCTGATTAAACTCCACTCGACTTTCTAAAGGCCGCGACTGCCTTCGTTCCCGTGGCCCAACACGCCGCCCGCACCAGTCCCCTTTCGCAAGCGGCCGATGGCTCGAACATCCCAGGGCCTCCCTACTCGGGGCCCGCCGTCAAGCCCATCTTGGACTCGATCGAATCCCCGGACGATATGAAGCGATTAGATATGCGTCAACTCAAGCAGGTATGTTTTCGTCGTCGAGAGCCCGTGCTCGGCCAATGCCTTCTGGTCCAGACACAGATGCTCACTCGTTTTCGTCTCCCACCATTTCACTTGTCAACAATAAATACATAGTTGGCCAACGAAGTTCGATGGGAAGTCTTGGAATCCGTCTCCAAGACGGGTGGTCACTTGAGTTCGTCCTTGGGTGTCAACGAATTGACCGTGGCTCTCCACTACGTCTTTGACATGCCCGAGGACGACATTATCTGGGATGTCTCGCACCAATGCTATGCTCACAAAGTCCTAACTGGACGTCGACACCGCATGTCCGGACTTCGACAGGCCGGTGGTATCTCTGGTTTCTGCAAGCGCAAGGAAAGTGAATACGATTCCTTTGGTGCTGGACATTCCACCACATCCATCTCGGCCGCACAGGGTATGAGCATTGCCAAATCCATGCTCGGTAAAAGAAAGAACAATTGCATTGCTGTCATTGGTGATGGTGCCATTACCGGAGGTATGGCCTACGAAGCCATGAACTCGGCGGGATACTTGAAAAATAGAATGATTGTCATTCTCAACGACAATGGACAAGTCAGTTTGCCCACTGGAACCCCCAGTGCCGGTGGTGTCGTGCCCGCCTCGCAGCTGTCGGCCTACACATCGAACTTGTTGGTCTCCAAACCGTTCCAAGATTTCCGTTCCTTCGCCAAGAGCTTTAACAAATTGCTTCCCAGTCAAGTGCAAGATGTCAACAAACGTCTCGACGAATACGCTCGTGGTATCGTGTCGGGAGGTACACTCTTTGAGGAATTGGGATTCTACTACGTCGGACCCGTGGATGGACATGATTTGGACAACATGATCCCCATTCTGGAAAAGCTCCGTGATTCCGACAGCAACAAACCCGTCTTGCTGCATCTCAAGACCGTCAAGGGATACGGATACCCACCTGCACTGGAGGCTTCCGATCGTATGCATGGTGTGGGCAAATTCAATCTTGGCACCGGTGTCCAAGTCAAGGGTAAATCCGTGGCTCCTTCGCTGACATCCATCTTTGCCAATGCATTGATTGATCAAGCCGCGGAAGATCGGTCCATTGTCGGTATCACTGCCGCCATGCCCGGTGGTACGGGAATGGATATTTTCGGACGACGATTCCCCAAACGTACCTTTGATGTGGGCATTGCCGAACAACACGCCGTCACCATGGCTGCCGGTATGGCCTGCGAAGGATTAAAGCCATTCTGCTGCATCTACTCCACTTTTATGCAACGCGGATACGATCAAGTTGTCCACGACGTGGCCATTCAAAACTTGCCCGTTCGAATGATTTTGGATCGTGCCGGATTGGTCGGTAACGATGGACCAACCCATCATGGATGCTACGACTTGGCGTACCTTGGTTGCATCCCCAAGTTGACCATCATGGCACCCAGTAATGAAATCGAATTGAGAAACATGGTTGCTACCTGTGCCGATTTTGATGATGGTCCTACTGTCCTTCGATACCCACGTGGAACTGGATACGGTGCCGAAACATTGGAAAAACTGTTCGGATACAAGTTGGAGAATGGTGAAGTTCCTACCAAGGGTAAGTCCAGCTGGAAAAGGGACGATGCGCTGTTGTGAGATATGACTAGGGACTAACAATGGAATTCTTGGCTATGCAGGAGAAATATTGGAAATCGGAAAGGGTTACATTGCACGCAGCATTGGTGGATTCAACAACAAGGAGTCTAGCAGCCGCGGCAAGTCTCGCAAGGACCGTGTTGCCATTCTTTCCTTCGGAACTCGTCTTCACGAATCTTTGCAGGCGGCCCAAGAAGTGGAAGACATGGATCCCAGTTTGGGTGTGACCGTTGCTGATGCTCGTTTCATGAAACCTCTGGATGTGGATTTGGTGCGACAATTGGCTGATGAGCACTCGGTCTTGATCACCATTGAAGAAGGCTCCATTGGTGGATTTGGCGACCACGTGCTTCACTTTTTGGCCTTGGATGGATTGATGGACGATGGCAACTTGAAGTTCCGTCCCATGGTTATCCCCGATACCTACTTTGAAACTGCCACGCAATATGAACAATACGAACGGGCTGGACTCAACTCGGAGCACATTCGAGGCACCATCTTGCGATTGACAAAACGAATGAATGTCCCCGTTCTGGAAGAAGAGGAGGTGGAAGTTGAGAACTAGGAAGAGCACGGTCGTTTCGCCGACTCAACATTGGGAGTGAGAACACAACGCTAGAAAACAAAACAGCACTGCTACAGCTTGTATGGACGAGGTAGTTGGAGGCTGACCAAACTTGCATAATATTGTTTTTACAAAATGGCAGGCGGTGCCATGGCCACTATTACTACTCGGATAGATGCTTTTGTTGCAACCTGATTACTCCTGGCATAGCGCGATGAATAGGCACTACGAAAAGTTGCCGACGCTGCTGTTGCCTAAAACTCCCGTTGAGGGTTGTCGCCGTGAATGATTGCCTATTTCGTTGGCTGGACACGACAGTGTTTCATCCCTTGCCCCCCGCAAGATCAGATTTACGCCTCTGGAGACCCCGTGGCCTTGCGCTTTCGTGCGCTGTTGAGGTCCAGGGTGCGTCCGTGGCTACTATGGCTAGCAACCGGCAACCACGTTGAAGGCTGAAGACGGAGCAGCCCGAATTGTAGATTCGTGATCATTGTCTGCTTGGCATCACCGGTAAATTTCAAAAAACCAATGCCACGACCAATCGCCTCAGCCGAAACCACTTCAACAAAGTCCTCGAGTTGGGCACTTTTTGCTTTGCCACGCCCACAGAAATTCAACATTGTTGTGTAGTCGATGAGCCTCTGCTTGTCGTTGCCTCTGGTCCGATCAAGGAACCAGGTTTTGTTGATGCGTCTCTTCAATTCAGGAAAAAGTAGCGAAAATGCGTCGATTGTAACAGCATCCTTAGAGATCAAAACCAACCTGAATCGTGTATTGCGACCAAGAATCGTCAGCATCTCATCCTGGTACATATCAACTTCCGTTTGGTTCCGCAAATACTCCAGCCGGAGGTAAGCCATAGTATTACTCTTGCCAACAGCATCAATCAGTGGCAATAGCAGCCCTGCTTCCGCTGTTTCACCCTGCACCATCAGATCCAGAAGTCTTCCCTGCTTGACCAAACCACACAGAGACTCACACAACTCCTGGGACACCTTCCATGGTGGTTGAACGAAAATATGCAAACATTGGAGGTTTTTCATGTGGACGAGCAAGCTTTGTATGGGGGAGAAGTCCGGTTCATGCTGAGGATGATTGTACGAAATTGAGAAAACTTGAATACGCGAGTTCCCTCCACTCTCTTCGAGCAGTCTTTTTGCTGGGTCAACCATTTCCTTCAGCGATCCATCATTTGGACCGGTAGCTGCCTGGATTCCAAAAGTTTCGATGTGCAGGTACCTGGTGAAATTGGTTCCCCGGAAGAGCATGGGAAGCATCTCGGTGACCTCTGCTCTGGTCAACTCCTTGCGGCGAATGTATATTGTGTCCGTTTTCTTCAGAATGACATCAAAAGCTTCCATACTACGTGGATCACTGAGAGATGTTCTGATTTGCTGACGGAGGGGTAGGTGCAATGGCAAATGGGAATAGCTGCCAAGAGTGAATGCACTGAATTCTCTTTTACTGGGCAAGCATTGTAGCATTGAGACCAGCAGATCCCGAGGGAAAATGGTGGAAAACAGTGCCATGCTCAGCGGACAGGCGAGAGTTTTATCCGTCAGGCATCCCGGAAAAGTGTACACAAGCTTCACAAGGTTCGCCATGACCTTTGCCGACTCCCAACTACGCGCAGGTTCTGACTGCAGTACAGGAATGGCGTCCACCAATTGCCTAGCCAGAAGTAGAGTAATTTCACGACGGCTAACTCGCTTCTTTTCGACAAGAAAACGTAGGACCTCAGGACGAGCGTTGTACTGGTAGCGGAAGGCATCCTCAATTACTTCTTTCGTCAGAGATTCTGGATTGCGGTTGTACAGATACTCGACTCTTGACAAAAGTGCTCTTGACCGTACAGCCGCTTGTAGGTTGGAAGGCTTGGCGAAGAGTGATGACAAAAGCTCTCTTGCCCTTTGAAAGGCCCTTTCAGCCTCTGGTCGGTCAGACCCTTGCCTGGGCCTCCAGATTCTATCCATACTAATGCTTTCGGGGCTTGAGATGTTGTTGTTGTCCTGTCTGGTTTGAGGGAACAGCAGCAGCAGCAGCAGTAGTCGGATGAACGGATTGCGAGAGGAGAGGAGATGAAGTTGGTTGGTTGCTCCGACGTCGACGCTTTGTGTTGTCCAAAAGCGAAGAAAAAAAGCGGTTATGCGAAAAATAACATCAGCCACTGTAGCTAGCTAGGCGTAAAAGCCCCCCAAATTTTCGACCCCAAATAAATGGTGCCGAAGAGAAAGGAAAGTGTCACACTTTCTAAGGGTCACCCCCCCTATTTTATCATAACGTTCGAGATCTTTCTCTGCTGACCCAAAATATTATTATTATTAAAAGAGATCATTACCTAAAAGATCCATCAAGCTCCAACAGGCCAGCAAGAGTGATGAAGAAGCCCAGCGCCGCCACTATTACGTCATCATGTACCATCTTGTTGTTGATGACACTGAGTGCAATATCGAGCGCATCCGCCAATGTCTACGCCATCCAATTGCACCCACGTGACGCACGGCACAAAAGCCGCCGTTCCTTATTGGAAGCTCACGACAACAATAATAAGCTGTACAACGATGGAGGCATGGACTACTTTGGATCCATTGCCATTGGAAATCCTCCTCAGACGTTCCGCGTCTGCTTTGACACTGGATCCAGCAACTATATTGTGGTCCCTCAAGTGAACTGTTCGTTCTGCTGGGACCGTGACGGCCATGCCAAGGACATGTACAATCATCAAGTCTCCACTACGTACGTATCAACAGGCAGAAGAAGAAGAAGATCTATCCGCCACTTTTTCCTATGGATCCGGAAGTGCCACGGGCATCTTTAGCACGGACGATGTCACGTTGGCTCCCGGTGTGGTAGCGCAAGGACAGCGCTTTTTGGAAGCCATGGGCGAGCAAGGGAATTTGGGCACCTTTTGGGACGATGGCATTGTCGGATTGGGGTTTCCGGCTCTGGCGTCACCCGGATCGCTGCCGATTATGGAAACACAGATACGACAAAATCAACTGGACCAGCCTATATTTTCCTTTTATTTGAATCCCCATGGACCCGGAGAGCTGACACTGGGAGGCTACAATCCGCAGAGATTTGACTGCCATCTTCGGTTTTCCAAAGTCGTCCAACCCGCCTATTGGCGCATTGTCGTGGATCAGGTGGTGGGCAAAGTGGGTGGTCGGGAGTATTCCGTGACGTCCACATTTTCGACCATCCTTTCGGCCATTGTGGATTCGGGCACATCCCAAATTGTCGGACCTTTGGAAGATGTCCAAGCATTGGCAGCTTTGGCGGGTGCTTCCTTTTACGGTTCTGGCGGCTACTGGCTGGACGATTGTGCCAATCTAGTGCCGGATGTTTCCTTTCGAATCGATGGACACGACTATGTGATTCAGGGCGAGGATTTGATTACCCCGTACCAGCTTTCGGACGGGAACTACCTGTGTCACTTGGACATGAGTGCTTCTAGCAGTACTTCCACTTGGATTTTGGGATATCCCTTTATGAGGCAATACTACACTGTCTTTAACTATGGCGAGCAGAAAGTTGGATTTGCTCCTGTGCGCCGACCACATCAAGAAGACTCGGGTTCCAGAGGTGGTACGAGTGGCAGCACCAGCAGGAAGAAGAAGGGTTGGATGGAATTGCTGAGTCAAAGTGTGGCATTGAAACCCTCCTTCCTGGCGCTCGGTCAAGTGCGTCGTCTCTGAATTCCATTCTTACTTCTAGAACACGACAAGGAAAAACTATGCCTCTACTAGAGTTTGCCAAAATGATCCACCGCTAAAGGCTCATAGCAGCTGAGCCAGATTGTGTCTACGGCATGCTCTCTTGTCGGACACATAGCTATAAAAACTATATCTATCCCACTCGACTCATAGATAGAAGGCATACTAGCTAGTACATATTCATAACTGCTAGCTAGCTATCTTCTTGTTTATTAGTAAGATTATTTTGACATTCCACGCCCCAAATCTCTATCCGATAGATCATGATCCTCCCATAGAAATCGGTAAAGTCGCCAAACACCAGTTTGATGGCTTTGGTTGTTGATTCCTTGGCGTCTTCTTTTGTCAGTGGAAAACTCTGCACATCGTGTACGTCGTCGGGTTCCACTTCTTGCCATGATTCCCAGTCTTTTGTCGTTGGAGATGATGATTGTTGTTGTATTTGTATGTGACACGTCTCTGCCGCAAACCCCGCTTGGAATTGAAGTTTGAGTTGGGTGGGTTGGATGGGACGTCCAAATTGAATCAGGTACCATTGTGGGTCGTCGTTGGAGCTGTTTCCATCGGAATACCAACAGCTAGACACATCCTCGGACTTCAAAGCATTCATGGGTCCGTATTCTTTCATGTTGCGATGTTGGACCGAGGAGGCTCTAATTTTTGAGAATGCAAAGTGAGAAAGAGGAGTGAGCCACATCTTGTGTTTTGATTGGCGATTCTTTCCCTCCTTCCAATTGTCAATTCAGACTGGCTCACTTACTTGGCGGAAACACCAGTGGAAGGGTGGCTAAGAAGAGTGATGGCATTGTCACTCTTCTCCTTGTCGGATGGAGACGCCATGGTCGCTGTCTTTGTCGGGATTCGGGTGGTGGTTGGTGGTTGAGAGGTTCTTCCATTTTTCACACGTAGAGTACAGGTTATCATCAAAATGCTAGAATAATTGGTGATTGGAAGTGTTTTTAGTCTTTTACGGAATTGTTGCTCATTTCCACTAAAAATGTTTAGGGATAAAGTTGGGAATCAATCCGTTTGTTCGTGACCCGACTTAAATATCTTTTTGGGAGTGACGTGTTCATGGCGCAATGCTGCCATATCCTCCAAGAGTGAGCCATGACGATCCATTCTCTGTTTTTGCCTTCACGATCATTGCATTGCCATCATTCTCACTCACATCCTTACTGTACAGGTGCATCCTTCTTCTCTTCCATATCCCAACGTAAAAACAAACTAGCAATTATCCAAACCATCAAGCCATGTCCTCCACAACCACTTTGGCCCGGACCGCCCTTCAGCGAGTCACTCGGCATCAGACTAATGCAGTGCGTACATTTGCTGCCTCGTCGGAAAACTTGGTCAAGACGGCGTTGAATGATTTGCACAAGGAATTGGGAGGAGACATGGTCCCCTTTGCCGGATACGAATTGCCCGTTCTGTACAAGGGAGAAAATGGTGGAGTCATGAAGGAACACTTGTGGTGTCGGGAACAAGGCAAGGCAGCCCTCTTTGATGTTTCCCACATGGGTCAGGTGAGTTTTGATAAATACTAAATAGTGGTATTTGGAGAATGGATATCAGAAAACTGTTTCTCTAAACATGTTGACCGTTCTTGCCAATATTGCTGATTGTCTGATCATCTGACTCCTGACCTTGCTACCGGTACTGTGGACTTGGCTCCGATCACTCTATTCATTCTATTCTATGTTTCAATCCATATCCAATCCTTTGAATTGATCAATAAAATCAGATCCGCTGGCACGGTGCTGACCGCGTGAAATTCTTGGAATCCGTGGTGGTGGGTGATATTGCCGGATTGGCTCCGGGTCAAGGATGTCTGTCGTTGGTGACGAATGAAAAAGGTGGTATTATCGATGATACCGTCATTACCAATGCCGGTGATTTCGTCTACATGGTCGTCAATGGCGCCACCAAATTCGGTGACATGGAACATTTTCAACAACAAATGACTGCCTTTGGTGGAGATGTCACCATGGAATATCTAGAAGATTCCAAACAACTGCTTGCTGTGCAGGGACCCGGTGCCGCGGCCGCCGTGGCCAAACTCTTGCCGTCCGATTTTAACCTTGAAAAAATGGCATTCATGACGGGCACCGCCACCACGTTGGACGGCATTGAGGAATGTCGCATTACCCGTTGTGGTTACACTGGCGAAGATGGATTTGAAATTGCCATGCCCGCCGAATCGGCCGTCTCGATTGCCTCCAAACTGCTCGAGGATCCCACTGTGAATCCCACTGGATTGGGCGCACGAGATTCCTTGCGTTTGGAAGCGGGATTGTGTCTGTACGGCAACGATTTGGATGCAACTACAAATCCCGTCGAAGGCAACTTGACATGGACCATGGGAGGCAAGGACGGTCGTCGTCGCAAAGAACAAGGATTCGTAGGTGCCGAGCATATCTTGACACCGGAAGGCAAACTGAGAAAGGTCTCACGAAAACGAGTGGGAATCATGGGCATGAAGGCACCAGCCCGAGGTCACGCGGAACTCTACGACGAAACGGGTGAGACCCAGATTGGTGAAATCACGTCGGGGACATTTTCACCGTGTCTCAAAAAGCCCATTGCCATGGGTTATGTCGATGCGGCCTACCAAAAGGCCGGTACCAACGTGCAAGTCAAGATCCGAAACAAACTGCAACCTGCGGCTGTCACCAAAATGCCCTTTGTCGAAGCACGATACTACCGTGTTCCAGAATAAAACAAGCGTGCTAGCTGTTGACGAGAGCGGATCGGCATCCATGGCTCTTAGGATTTTGCACCGCCCCAGACAAGATATTACATAGCATTATTTTTTAAAAAAAAGGAACATGCCATTGCCCAAGATATCGTTGGAGCACCCATGTGGTCTCCCATTCCAATTTGGATCGGTTTCAGCCCATCCAGGTTACTGCTTGCATCCTCGTTGTAGGCAACACTGCTTGCCTACGTCTTGTCTACTCAGCGTCATAGCCAAGCTGGCTATTCAGCAGCCTCGCAATCCGATGAGCACTTGCGATTCTGTCTTGCTCCGAGTCGGAATCTCCTGCCACTAGACTTTGTCAAGCAACAGCATCCATGTCATCCGTCGGCCCTCCGTACCCCGAAGCAGCTGCCTGATGGTTTGCTTGGATGCCAGATATACTGCCGCAGGGTGACCGACAGAGGCTCTGTCGCCCTCCCCGTCCTCGCGTCTTTTGTCTGTGAACGCACATTCTCTAGTACGTTGGTTGCCGGTAGGAACGGTCTGCAGGGCATACTGTACCCATAGGGCATCAAAAGGCGCGCGCTTTTGTCTCCTCCTCTTTGATGATCACGGGGAGGTTGCATTTAAAGTGGGAGCGCGACCTGCAGTACCAGCCCAACACAGCTGTGAGCTGCTGTGACCACGTATTTATTTGGCAAAGAAGAGCACGGAATGTCATTCGACACTTCTCCAACAGTGTCCTGGCCTTGACGAGCCTTCCTTGAGACCCTTGCAAGAGTGTGAAGCAACCTTACCTGAACTAGCTAGCCAATGCTGTACATGTTGTACCCTCCTTTGCAGTTAGTTGCAAGCCATCCCAAGAAAAGTACAGAGTCAATCCTTGGTCTAAGTGAAAATGCTGTTATGAATCTTGGAATTACTTTAAATGGTTCTTCATGAAGCTAATATACAGAAAAGGTCTTGCCAGGCAACATGGCTGTGGTCGTACGGTGTGCTGGAGCTTATGCTTGCTTGTTTGCTTTGATTTGGCATGCCTGTTACATCGCTTTAAGCAGCCGAACTAGCCCGGCGACCCTCATGATCAGGCTGGCTGGAAACAGAGCCTCGACTACCCGTGCGCTTGACTCGGCGCTTGCCACCAGACGATGGCTTGGAGTTTTTGAGACTTTGGAGGCACAGGGACGCGTGAGGACTGTCCACCGAACCATACAACTCCAACAGTTGAATGACTTCACTTGGGTCCATCTCCTTCATGTTTCCTGCCACAAACTCAGCTTGGGTCATTCGTCGTTCCTTCTTCACTTTGGTTTTGCCACCAGTGACGGGATTGATCAAGCTGGCTGCGCGGTCTGATGCACCGTCATCAGCCTTGGATGCCGAATGGCGGAAGAGGCCTAGTCCTCTCTTGGAAGCTTTGGCCTCGGCGTCCTTGGCCCCTACGATTGACGCAGAGCGACGAAAGGTACTTCCCGTTGCCACGGTATCCTTGATACGCCTCTGCAAATCGTCCGCACTTCGTGTAGCCCGCATCTTGGTGGAGATCCTCGTACTTTGGCCCCGGGCATTGGCGATCCTGCTTTGAAGGCGGTTGCTCTTGTCGTCAGTCATGTTGAATGCTGTGTATGAAAGTAATACAGAAGATGCTAGCTTGGATTTCATGATGAATATGTGAGATTCAGTTTTGTGAGCCTTCTAGCTAGGAATCGTTGCGGTTTGCAGAGAGACTTTGAGGTTGCTTGAAGAGCTCTTGAAGTGGATCTCCACATCCACACTGGTACCAATCAAACAGAGTGCCAGTACAGTGTAGTCCAGAAATAATAAGAAATTTAGAAAAGCACTAGCTAGAGTCTACGTGTACCGTCGATGAATGTCATTCTCGATTGATGAAGGAGTTTGAGGGCTGTACCGGTGGACCGAAACAGCTACCGAAACCTCTCGATGGTACCGGTAGGGTTCTTGGCAAACTGACAGAAGGGAACTTTGTATGATTTGGACAGTATCAAATCTCCAACGACCTATTCGCATATTGACTCCTGATGCATGCAATAAGACCAAATAAGTTGAAGAAACAGCTATTCTTATATGAACCCACAAACACGTGGTGGTCTTTTCTGGGTTCTTTTCATCCACTTTATCGACCATGATGTTTGTGTTGTCTACTACTAGCATCTTATCACTTTTTTGAGGACTCCCTGACTCCCAAGTTTTCTCCATAGTCCTCCAGAGTCACACTCGGTACTCAGAGCTGATAACCCTCTCTTATCTTAGATCTAGCTAGATATCTTGTAATGATTCTTGACTCATGACTGAACAGTCTTGATCTTTGCTTGTTTCAGGAACTGGGTAATTCCTGGTTCCTCCCCTTTGGCCTTGAAAAAGGACTCGAATCAGGAGAACAAAAAGAGCTACAAAAAGTATAATACTATACAGTACTCGAGTACACAACTACAGTGAACCAGCTATTTAATTAAGCTCAGCCACTGCGAACTATGCATATGCATAAGACCGCGCAGAGACGATGTTGCTTGGCATTGCAAAAAATCCTCCCGCAGCCCGCAGCAGCTCGACTTTTGGCCCTTTATTAGAAGATGGTAAATCGGTAATTGTAGTCTACTCAGTAGCTAGCTACTATTAATAGTGCAACGTTTCTGGATGTTCTGAATTTATATAGTTCTTGGAGCTTTGCGTAAACAGGTTACGTTGTTACGTTACTTCAATCATCTGAAGGGGCTGTTCGCCTGAGTTCCTTCAGCTGTTGCTTCTGAAAAGACCTTAAAACCGAATGACTGCAATGAAGTGGAATGAACCGGAGAACTACCGGTACCGGTACGTGGTGGTCTTTTCTATTACTAGTAGCGGCTCTAGCTAGAAAACAGATAACTTATAACTTCACTTCTTTTTCTCACTGTTCGACCACACGAGACCATGAGCTGACCATGTATGTTGCTTGGCATCATACGTAGCAACTGTCAACCCAGTCCAGCTTGACCATAACACTTTGCAACGTTTCTACATGTTCTAACTAGAAAGCTTTGGGCGGTCACAGCTAGGGAGGACTCAGTAGGGTCTAGTAGCTTAAAAATGCAACGTTTCTGCATGTTCTGAATTTGGTTCTCGGAACTTGGAACTTTACGTAAACAGGTTACTTCTACTGTCTACAGTAGAAATGTAGAAATAGAGACAAGCATCAAGCATCTGCGAGGGTCGACAAGGCTGTTTGCCTGAGTTCCTTCAGCTGTTCCTTCGGAAGAGAGGTTAAAACGGAATGACTGCAATGAAGTGGATTGAACTGGAGAACTGCGTGGGATCTTTTCTAACTTCCTTCTTTTTCTCACTGCTCGTGTTTTCTGCCGACCACACAGAGACCATGACCTGACCATGTTGCTTGGCATCAACGTACATGTGCAATGTCATGAGCTCGTTCATGCGCAACTGGCAGCAGCTCAAACCCAGTGTCGCTTGGCCATAACACTTTGCAACGTTTCTACATGTTCTAGCTATTAATAGGCTAGAAAGCTCTGGGCCCTCACCTTTCATCTTTCCTTAGATTTTTTACTCGGGAGGTTTCTTGCGGTTTGCGGTGTGAAGTGTCATCCTGGTGGGGAATTTAGACAACTTGAAGCAATCATCCAGTCGCTGGTTGCACTTTGTGCTGGTACCTGCCAGTTTGAAGGGAAAAGGTACCACACCATACTCCCTGTAACTTTCGTCCTCCCCAATCTGCAAATCTTTATCTACGCTCCTCCAGTGAAGACAAATAAGAATCGTGTAAAGACAATAAGCAGTACTGTAGCAGCTCCTATTAGCTAGTATCAACTACCCAGCCAATGTTTGGAAAACTGCTGCTTTTGAGACTCTGAAGTCTGGCGGCAGCTAGTCCACTGGCTCGTAGCTGAACATCAGCCAGCCACAAGTCATGGTGTATGTCAACTCCTTGTTGGTCAATGGAGTTGCCGCTGTAATGTTCCAGCCAAACGAAACACGAACAGCGAACTGCCCACCCCAGAACCAGCATCTTTTGGCTGCGACTAAACTTTAGTAATTGTCGCACTGAGCACCTCGCTGTGCCACTTGCTTGGCTGTCCTCCCACACCACAAATCGCGGCTCAGTTCTGCTCGTGGCAAGCATCCAAATGCCAAATGTCCATGCAAACTTCTGCTGTATCCAGCCAGCCAATCTTTGGAAAACTGCTGCCTTTGAGACTGCTGAAGTCCTCTGGCTACTAACTCGCTAGCTACTGGCTAGCTAGAGGGTAGGCTCCCTCTTTTCCAGCGCTAACAGCTAGCTAGAGGATCGTAACAGCGCAATGGAACTTGTTTGGATGCAAACTTCTCGAAGCTCCTTGCCTGGAATAAAGTACCCCAACCAGAACAGCTACCGGTATGCTCCACGGCGATTTGGCCTGGCATAGCATCTCCAATAGAATCGAATTGGATCTTGGCTTCGCATTCGGTACCGTACCTGGTAGCTGGTCAGATGTCGAGGCGACCCACACTCTAGCTAGCAACTAGTAGCTAGCTAGAGCCAGCCAGAGCAAACTCTGACCAGAATTGCTGGCGACGGTAGACGGTCTGGGTGCTGAGATGGCTCGCTCAGCTACAGGGAGCTTTTGCCTGCTGTCGTGCTGCGTGATATCGCTTTGCTTGCCATTGTGAAAAGCAAGGCTTTGGGGGGACATGGGCTGCATATCGGTAGCAGCCCTTCCTGCAGCACCCGTATGAATGAATCGAACTCTTTGATACCAGCACGGCCAGCTCCCTGGCTCTTGCAAGCAAATTTTGCATACACGTACGGTGGGAGGTGGGAGATGGTTCGCGGGTGCAAACTAGCTGGAAGGACGTGCCTAGTAGCAGAGATTGCTTGGTTGTGTCGTTGATGGAATGGCACGTTCCGCTCACCGTCTCTGGCCTCGATGCCTGGCTAGACTAGGATTACCGTCTGATTCGATGGACTCCCTGCATTTTTGATCAGATTCCAATTTCCCAGACTCCGTTATGAGTCAATGACATACACCAACCGGCCGTGGGTGCAGTCCAAGTGGCTTAGCTCGATGTAGAAAGATGGCACAATTGTAGTACACCTTTTATTTTCAAATATCAGTTGCTTACACTACCTGCTGCCGTCTTTCTCATCTCCCTGGCTGATCGGGAAAATGATTGAAATATCGCCGTATCAGTTCTCGACTGATGACTTGGTCATCCTTTTGCGCATCCGGATGAAAGAGCAAGTCTTCCATCCATAACGTGGCGCGACGTGCAATCATCTGTGCTTCATCCTCGTGATCCAACACCCACTGCATCTTCTGGTGGGCATCTTTTCCATACGGCTCCATGGGAATATAATGCTTCCACGGAACCAATAGTTCTTCCATCCCCCAAGTCGTTCTCGTCGGCTCGGGCATGATGACCACACTGTTACTGTACAGCGCCCATTTCAACCCCGAAGCGACATCATTGCCTTCCGGCATAATGAGCGCTTTGAATTGCAGCTGCGAAGCGAGGCCCAGAGGTCTGCCGAGTAACCTGATAGAAGTTCCATTGTATGGTATTCGGGAAGGAACACGGCCCAGTTGACCTGTCGATTTGGCATCCACCAAATCCGAATGCAGGTTGTGCAGGATGATGGCACAACGACGAATGATTAGATATTTCTGTGCATCATGCAGTGTTGTTTGTTGGGCTTGCCTTTCGTGAGGTGAATTGTTCCCGGTGAGTTTACCCCGAAAGACGGCTTGATTCTTTTTTTCATTCCAAGGAATATCGAAGTTCGGGGTCTTTCGGACTGGACCAAAATGTCGGCCGACCCTGATCCGGGAGACAATCCCATGCACATTTGTTGGCATCAAGGGCTCTTGGGTGCTTGCTGTTGTCGTTTCCTTGACATTGCTGAGTGGCATCGGCAGTCGAACGCATGGTTCAGTGCTGGTCCGATTATGCGTTTGTAGTTGCGTTTGCATTCCCACGGCCCTGACCTTGGTAAAGTGAGGAACGAAAAACGCGTTGGCGACATCCCCAAAGCTGACCAAAAGGGGCGCACTGGCATTGTTGACTTTTATCAAACTTTGGGAGGTTTGGAGGACCTTGAAAAAGTCGCGACAGTAATCGCCTTGAACGGCAGTGGTGCACTTTTTGCTTTGCAAAAATTCTGCGTCAACGACACTGAGTGCATCATGGCGAATTTCGAGCGTCGGAATGGAATAATTTCGTCCTTGACTTTCGGAGAAGAGATGAAGATGCCGGCGGTTGTCTTTAGCAGTGTACTGGTATTCATAATGAATGTGGTCGAGATCGTTCGGACAATAATACCAGTCCGCCATGTAGACTCGGACGCGCTCTTCGATGGAAGGAAACCTATCTGAACGGTTGGTCGCTTGTCGCAACAACGTTAACTTGGGGTCTTCTGGGCAAGGCGGTTTGTCCAAGTACATGTACGACGAGTATCGGTTCAAATTGGGATTCAGTGCCACCAGAAAATCAGAAACATAGTTGACCAATCTGCTCAGCTGTAACACCAGCAGGCATAAAACTGTGTATTTCTTGATCTTTCGGATCGTGGTCATGATTTTGGCGCTTTTGAGCAATGGAGGGTTTCTCTAACTGCACGCAACGTGCTGTTAGCTCTCCTGCTGCATGCTTAATGACAAATCAGTTGGTAGGTAGCGAAGCCAATACAAGACCAGGATTCATTTGACAACAGCGTTAGATGTGTGATCCATGTACGGTGCCGAGGGCACTACGAACATGCATCGTACCTTCATTTTTTCGGAAGTGTGACTGAGCAAGCCTGGTGGGCTGCCTCAGCACGAAAATAGAGGAGTACCCATCGATCTCGTAATAAACGATGTATTTGTAAGCTGTCACAAGACGACTGCCACCTCGATGTTGCCATGAAACTTCAAGATTGCAAGTACAGCAAGTATGATCTCTATTCTCCAATACAGAGAGTTCAGCCAAGGCAGCAAGATTTGTCACTTGTAAACAGTTCCAGTTTGGACAACAATTCAATCCAGGCGGGATGGTGCCAAAAGGTCTGGCTCTGTCACCTTGTCGAAACAGAGAGCTCGGACTTGATCAACCACACATTCAATGGAGAGTCTGGTGCCTTCACAGCCTTTCATGACTCCAACTTGTGAACTTGTGCATTCCGGTTACATTCACACTGTCAACCCACTTACTTGCTTTTCTTGCTTGGACCCGACTGTCCCCGTCAAGACAATAGCAAATTTTTGCAATGGCAAACCGTTGCTGTTTCCTCCAGGCATCAATCGCTTTTAAAGTGGATGCATTGTCATCCTCTATCATCCAGTTGAACGCTCGAGACTGGGCTGATTCAGGATCTTCAAGAGAACAAGGGAGTAATCTTGAAGCAAGGAGGAGGTATCAAGAGAAAATGAATCCTCACCGGAGGGAAGCTCTGTCTTGTCACAGAGGCGTTTGCGCCCATCAGGGCAAGCTACCTCTTCACTATCAACAACTAATCCAAACAACGAGGGCGCAAACATCACCTGGAACCTCTCCAACAAGATTGTTGTGGTGCACTTTTCCGCCCAAATTGAAATGAGCCTGGACAGCTTCCCAAGCTCAGAGGGTACTTGTTCTGGCTCATTCAGGAACAACCACAAGCGCAGGGGTGGATATCACTGGTTCGACTGGTGTTGGAGAATTCTCGTTGTCGTCTGACTTGCAAAAGGCGCAGCCACTTGTACCGCAAACATTTCCGGCCCCGAGTCCTCCAAGGACCGAGCAGAGTTGTAAGAGGAATGCAATGCCGAACAGAACCATTTTCGCCAGAAGGTCTTGAGGTGAATCTGCCCACTAAGGAGCCTCTATGGTTGTCATGATGCGATGTTGGTTCATCGGGCACCACATACACTTCGATCAAAGGTTGATCATCAGCGTCTTCCTGCGACGACGACTGTCACTCTGGTTCACTATTGGCTGTCGCCAAGCGAACTTGTACCGCCATCTCTCCATAATGACATGAATCAGGAGTGACTAACGACGAAATTCTCTTACTACTCCGTTGAACATCAGCAGATCGACGCGGACACGGGATTGCCAAAGTTGCCCTCTCCACGAAACGGCCAGAAGCATTCAAAGAGGAAGTGCTTGTTTCCCTATCCGCCGAGTCCCCATTTTAGCGATTCACATCATTTCCGTCCGAGTCATCTCCATCGTCTTGAGCAGACAGGCGAAGATGTTCGCTCACAATCTTTATTGCCATCAGGCCCTGCACGAGATCTTCGTGTCTTCCCGGTGCCGCTACGTTGTCGGCCTGGTGGGGATGTCCCATGTTGCTGCCCTCTCATTTGTCTTGCTCTATCTCTTTTGCTAGGGGAATTGACGCCATGCCACCCGTTTCAATTCTAGGTTTGCCACGCCTGCTAAATCCCCTTCAATTAGTATGGCGGGCTGATCCTTCTTTGTTTGGAGTATACGCCCTCGTGTGATCACCTGCCAGATCCCTTGCTTCTTGTACGAGCACCTCACACTATCCGGTAGATTTAGTGTTTCAAAAGTTCTCGTGGCTTGGGACCAGATGGCAAAGAGCGTTGGGCAGGCTGTGGGGGTGATTTGCCATCTTGGTTGGGAGGAAAATCAAGACTTGAAGCAGAATTGAAAGCCTTGCTTTGCTTCCCAATTTCAACTCCAGCTAGGGCACCATGTTCGAATGAGGATGCTGATTCAAGCATCACGTCAATTTTCATTATCCATCCTCACGACTACGAGATCTGTTGACCTGGTACGGTACGCTGCCGGAAACTTTGGCATTGGTTGATCAGGCACACCTCTCATTCGTCTGGTAGACTTGTCGTGGCGTAGTCCTCGTCGGGGCTTGCGCTCAGATTGCAGAGAGTACTGCTGTGCAGTTGATTGGCCAGCTTGCTCGGGAGGGAAAATCAAGAGGCATTAGCGATGCCCAATTGTCAAGACCAGCTAGGGCACCAGGATAAATGAGGGTGCGGATTCAAGCATCATTTCTTTGATGCTCTTTTCATCAAAATCGCCCCTAATTCGAGATCTGTTGATTCGATTCTGATTCGACGCATGATTTCTTCATCGGTTGCAGCTGTAATGCCATGTTCACACAGTCAAAAGGGGATCTCTTGATTGACTCTTCTTTTGCAAATGAAGGCAATCTTCCATTAGTTAACATACATCGTACGGAGATGTATCTGATGTTGTGCGTGGATGGATGGATGTTTACAGCACTCAGACTGGTGGTCACCGCTCATGCTGGCATCTTCCACTGATGAATGGCCAAAAAAAAGCTCTTGCTTTTTCGGCCATGTTTTTACCTTAGAAGCCAGCAGGAGCTGTGATACTGCTTCTTTAGCAGCCAGAAGCAAGTGCTATACTCGAACTCGATGTATTTGGCCATTCATGATACGGTACCAGGAGCGTCAAACTTGAAGTTTGATTGCGATACCGAGATGTTGCAATTTGCCACAGTCTTAGCTAGCTGGATGTGGTTCCTCTATGATTTTTTCCAGGCCTGCCTCTCGAGGCAGCTTGGACGCAAGCGAAATCTGTACTGGCCAATAAGTCCTCCGTGGCCCCCCCCCCCCTCATGGCTGAATCGAATGATTGCTCATGTGCGTGCTTCAGTCGCAGCTCCAGAGATTTAGCAGTACTACTAAACAAGATGCTAGCCAAGTGGCTTGATTCGAAAGCCGTACCTTTCATACCGGTGAATCTTTCCGCGTTGGACAACTCATCGTTGTGACCCTACCTTAGCTACATTTCGGATTTGGAAGCACGACCCTATCAAATACGATTCTTTGCAAGCATAGCAGTGTTCATGTTCATGGTGAGGCCATTGGTGCTTTGAAGGTGGATCACGATACGTCAAGTTTAAGATGGACTTGTCCACCAAGTTGCAAGACAAGACCAACCATGGACTGCAACTGAGGCAAATTAAAGGGGAGATCTTGGCTGTGGCTTTTTGGTAAAGCAGTCTCGTGACGTCTTTATCGGGGGGTTGGAAAGACGTCATTTTTGATTAGACTAGAGCTACCTTGGAAGAATGGCCATGGTGAACAACGATTACTGCGAGCAACAGCATGTCATTCTTGTCCAACCCAAAGCTCGCCACTCAGGCATCATTGTCTTTTGTTGACCCCCGTGGAGACCGCCTGCTCAGTCCACCCCAAGTCAACAACCCGGGTCAGATGTTTGGATGACCTTCTGACGGAAGTGCATCAATCCCACGAGGCAAGGATGAGAACCAAATCTGGGCGGAGTATGAGACAAGGTAGAAGTGCCAAATAGAGGAAAAGATGGTACAAATTGTGATGCTTTGCTCGGTTTACTGTAAGTCTTTTATCTTTTATTAATAATGTATTATGTGAAGTCTTGTTTTGAGTTGTTTTTGTTAGCATGCCCTCGTTTTGCGCCTTGCACACGATCAAGACAGACAATGCCCTTTTGAAATTGCTTATTTCCAAATGCATGTAGATAGCCAAACTGCGGATTTCGGTTCAGTTTAGTGTGGAGAGCTGTATGTAGAGTCGGAGCTGCACTGACGTCGGGGGCCTCGCTTTCGTCGGGGTTTGTCATCCAGCATGCTTGTTGCGTTCTTGATGGTTTGAAGACACATAAAGCTCGCATCGCGATCATCACGAGCACTCACTTCCAAGAGATCAATAATCTGGTGAGGATGCAAGTCCCTGACGGAATCTTCCAAGGGGTTGCGGTGCGGTGCCTTGTCTTTGGTAGAGGATGAGAGGGAGGTTCTTCGCATGGATCCACGCATGGATCCTCTTTTGGAACTTCTCTGTTGGTTGCGAGCACCGGCAATCTTGCTCTGGAGACGCAAAGCCTTGTCATCTTGGAGAGAAGAGCTGAGAGAAGTGTCCTTCATCTGGTTGGAGTGTGGAACAGAGTACATGACTTTTTGTTTTGCGTTTCTCAAAATGGTGTATTTGGAAATTGTGAGAGTTGGAGCGAGAGTGGAGAGGACCGAGAAAGTTTAGAAAGCTGCCCAGAAAGCAAACCCAGCCAGATCATTTGCTTCTTCACTGCTCTGCGAACAACACTGGCCAAAGCTGGCACAAGATGGCAAGAGGACGCGGTCATGGGCAACGGTGCAGCGGTAAGCGGTACCGGTACCGCTGGCAACTGGGACGGTCATCTGTTTGACCGTCAATAAAATTAATAAGTCTTACAGTACAGCAAGAAGATTGATGGTGTACCAATTAATTATTTGCACTCTTGCCCATGGTCATAAAATGACCAGAGCTTTCCAAACATAAGAAATCTCACTAATTCAGCACCATTACCGGTCATATTTCTCCAGATCTAAAAACTTCTTTGCACTTCCATGGTGAACGTTGAGCCTTAAATAAAGTCGCTATAGCTGCTCTTAGAACTTAGAACCCGTGCCCACCAAGATGACTTCTTACTTTGGATTTAGAAAGAAGGAAAGTCGTATCTTGACGGCGAGATGGTCTAGCTAGACATCCAGATTGACCAGACTCAAAACTCACTCAGGAGTGGCTGACCACTGGCTCTAGCGGTAGGCTCTACTAGCTAGCTACTAGCTGGAGTAGAGCAAGCATCACCACGACCTTTGGCCACTGACCATCGTTGCCCATTCTTCAGGCTTCCTACCTTAGCTCGACCAGCAACTCTGCAAGGTGGTACCATGGAGGCAGGGCAAACTCGGGACCTCCATCCAGCCATGGTGATAGCGTCCGTCAGCCAGGACTTGTGGCTCCGCCTGTCCCCCATTCACATTCCTGTTTGGTTTTGGTAGCGCGGCAGCCCCGAAGTACCATCATGCTTTAGAATTCAAGTATGCCGTAATAACCACCTTGTCCTCATCTAGCTATTGCCGCTGGCTGCTAATCCACTGTGAATGTGTTACGAGGACGGGTATCGCTTGTCGTAAACTAACTAGCTCGAGACTTGGTTCTTCCTCTGAACTACCCTGCAGTCTGGCGTTTGCGCAGCTTGTCGTGTTGATTCCACGAAGAGGTATTTGTGCACGTACTTGCAGTCTTGCTTGCCCTCTCTCCAACGTGCAAAACTTTGGGTGCGAGGATCAAAAATGGCGGGTGCATCCTGTTGTCACTACATGTAGAATACACCCCTAATGAAGTGGTGACCCGATTGACTTGAACAGGCTACGGTAGCTCGCTGTCAAGTTTATTGACAAACTAGCTGCTCACGCAACGGTGAAAGCACAAGCTCATTGGTTTCCTAGTTCTTCAGTACAACTGTACAACTGTACATGTAATTCCCTTGGGACGTGCACGTTAGTTGCTCCTCTCGAGGAGACGAATGAATGATCCCTGCACGTAGGTGGACTTTTACCAAACCAAATGGAATGCCAATAGAAAGAGATTTGTGCCCAGCAAGAGACTGATACCGGTAATACCTGTTTCGGAAGCGGACTCTGCGGTTGATTGTTTTTCATAGAGGACAAAGTGGAATAACAAAGATGTCAACTTGTGACTTGGATAGCCCTCAGCCCTCACGTGATCTCTCATCTTGGTTGACTCACCGCTGCGGATCCATCGCTGTCAGCCGTGAATACATCAGTTTCTTCCTTGTCCGAAGTCAAGATTGTGGCTGTGAAGTTGACAGACAATTCCGAATCCTCCGGGCCAAAATTACTGCTATTCATGACAAATGGCTGGACAGAGTAGACTTCCACATGTGACGGAGGATCGCGCCAACAAGCAAACAAAGGATTCAAGTAAGATCCATCTTCCAGCATCAGCCATGCCTATACCTGTCGACCTCAACTGGCCTGGATTGTCATCCGTGGCCTCGCGAATGGCATTGTCCACCACATACACTGTGTAGGGCTCATTCCCTGGAACAGCCACACCAACTTCAGTCAACCCAGTAATCATGACTCCGTTCCTGGAACCTGTGACGGATGTGACGTTGTAGAACCTTCATCAGCTGTAGTGATTTCTGTAGTAAGCGTTCCTGAGGCGTCGATTCCATCTACCGAGTACACCCATTCCCAATCGAGTAAAGCAGCAGCTGTTGCGACGAGGCCGTCTCCGCAGACAAGAATCGTCAGTAGAAACAAGTTTTCAAGTCGAATTATCATGGTTGACAGCTTTTGCTTTGTTGTAATAGGACGGTAGGGCTCTTCTTGGTGGTAACAGGTAGGGGGTAGGTCACACCAGTTTGAGAGTCGTACGACCGTAGTGAGGGGATGATCCGATGGAGTGTTGTGGTGTTGTGGGTAGGGAGAGGCCAGCTAGAGGATCAGCAAGGGTGGTTCCAGAGGAGGAGATGGTGTGGGAGGCAATGGAGGTGGATATTGGATCCATGGAGATGGTTGCCGGGGTTTATGTAGCGGTGCACAAACGCGTGCGTGTGGCTTAGAGTCCCGCCTTTTAAAATCCCAGCTAAACGGTCTTTAAATCTTTTTCGAGTGCTGCTGTACAAACCGAACATGTGTATTGTACGGTACCGGTACATGTACTGGTACTGGAGTTCTTAGATACTAGTAGCTACCGGTACTAGTAGCTAGTACCGATACCATACCAGTGCCCGTATTTACATGTGCCGGACCACATCATTGCAAGTTGCAAGGGTTGCCTGTGGGAGATCTCAGTTTTCGAAGAGCTCTAGCTAGAGTTTGCTCCTTTTCGGTGTGCGCTGCAAGCTGCGATTGACTGTGTGAAATCTTCGTTTCGAGAGGTTGATCATCATCCCTGTACGTTCTCAACTACTGCACACTGCGGCTCCTGGCCATGTTTCTCGATCCTGAAGCAACTCTCTTGACCATGGCATACATGAACGGGAGGGAATTGTGCTGCTTAGAACTCTAACATCTCAGGCTTAGAACTTGCCCATGGTCAACACACCGAACATGCGGATGGACAACCAATAATGACGAAACGACAAGACTGCTTCCCCAAGATAAGTCACAACGTGGTCCAAACTTGGCTGGCGGCATTTGTGGGCCAAAGGCCACGATGATCCCTTGCCGACAATGGACTACCGGTGGTCAACTTTCTATGTTGTAGACCGGAGCATAGTAGACTGTCACTCATCCAGACCGTAGCATTGACTCTCCTCGACTATGTCGTTCCCGGCCTCTGTTGACGCATTTTCTACTGGTACCGGTACCGGTAGGGGCACTGGACAAGAATCGGATAGGCGCATACGGTATCCACATGGTCTGAGCACAAGGCAGGTCCCGCTCCACTGCCTCTTGCGAACTTTGTCTAGGTGGCCTCGACACTATAGGTGGCTTCAACACAAACCGTATTCCTTCGCTTACCGTACCAGTTATGCGATTCCTCCCTTCTCCCGTCGTTTACATACATATCTTGCGTTGCAAGCTTTTCGTTCTTTGGGACTGGAACTTCGTTCGGAACGAACTCTGGGAAGGGTGATCCTGTTACCAAGGATGAAATTCGTCATCTCAAGGGCAAAAGAAACAAGGCCTTGTCCAAGCTAGACAAGGCCAAGGCCAAGAATCTAGAGCTCACAGAAGAGCTGCGTCAATACAACAATGATCTAGTTCTGATGGATGACGTTTTGTTGGAGCAGCACGAAGGAGTTGTGGGTCTCTCATTCGAGCAGGAATGAGTAGACTATAGATACGGTATAGGCACCTGTACCCTCCGACGTGCCCTACTCGCGAAGTTCACATTCAAGGATGAAGTAGCCGTGGGAGTTCCCAGTCAGCGCACCAAGGGCATATCCAAAGACCAAGTCGCCATTGTTGGGTTTCGTTTCGTTGGACTTTTCCAGGCGATCGAACAAGGTACACCCGACGGAAGCACAACCCAAGTTGCCATACTTGTCTCCAGTGATACACGTCTTCTGCGTGAGATGGAATCGCTCGCAGAGCTTGCGAAGAACCTTTGGGTTAGCCTGATGGAGCACGACATGGTCGAATGAATCAAGAGAAAATCCAAACCTTGCTCGGATTTCGGACAGCCAGAAATGAAGACTCTTCGCAATCAACTGAGGTCCCGACGGGTTGAGGTCGAACACGGAGGTCACGTCATTGCCAACGCTCTTTTCGAGACGGGATGCAATGTAGTCGTCGGTATCCGATGCAATATCAGCTCCAACGAGCTTGTATGTTTCGTTAGGCAGATTCTCTGTCGAGGTGGACACCACACAAGCAAACGCGGCGTCACCAAAAACGCCAACGTTGATCCATTTGTTGATATCATTGTCAACCGTGTAGGCTTCGCGACCTCTCGCGGAGAAGTTGCTGGAAGAACAGTTGCTGGTGACGACAGCAATGCTGGAGACTTCAGAAGACTGGAGCATCACGTTTGCCAACTTGAGGCCGTTCACCAATGCAGGGCATCCGTGGGACAGGTGAAGGATCTGCAACTTTCTGGAGAAGCCAGGGAAGCGCTTGTACCAACGGCGAATACCCTCGTTGAAATGCATTCCTTCGGCGGTCGCTGAAAGATAGATGATGACGTCGATGTCCTGTTGCCGAACACGTGCCTTGGCCATGGCACCATCCAAAGCGGCAAACACTAGCTCCTCTTCCGTGACATTACCAGCATCCTGCGGTGCTTCATCTTCCGACAAGCCGAGACTGCACCTTGCTGCATCAATGTGTCCAAATGCTAGTGAGGGAATGCCAAGATTGCGGATCATCCAATCGTCTGAAATCTTCTTTCCCGTCTTGGGGTTGTGGACGCCGCATTCGCGAAGTGTGCGACAGACTGGCTCTGTCGGAATAAGGCAACCTGGCACACCGTCTACTCCAGCAATGGCTCTGGAAATGCCACGGATTCTGGTGACCCAAGGTTTGCCACTGTTGCTTTGTGTTTTACTTTGGGGCTTTCTGGGCCTGAAAGCGAGCCCTAGTATGGCATGGACCATCATTCCAACGAAGACAGCACACAAGATTGGGATCGCCTTCATTAGTGAAACAATAAACAAGACTTCATCCCCACTGTTTGTCCTTGGAAAAGGCATTGCAGGGGAGATCATGGAAGTTGCATTCGTACTCTCCAGATGCGCCAAAAGGGGGGGCCACCCTTCAGACACGTCATACTCTAGGAGCCTTCCGTCGTCAAAGAGCAGCTTTGTCTCTTTGTAGTGCTTCATGTACCAATCTAAAACAAGACCATTCATTGTTAGGCATGATTACTCACACAATCCAGCCCAAATCCATGCAAGATCCACGTACCAGAGCAAGTTCCATCAGCATCATCCCTGAGCAAGTTCTCGACGCTGCAACCGCGTCGGCTTAAGATGTCCTTTGCCATTGAGCCGAATCGCTGTATGAAAGGCAAAGATGAGAATGGCCAGCTGGCAAACTGGTTGTGTAGAAGTGCCAGTTTCTTGACACTTTGGATCCATCCTGCTATGTTGGCTCTGAGCAAAGAAGATTGTGGCAACATAGTTTCAGCGTGACAGTGTGTTGTGACCCAATTTGGTGTATTGATTTCCTGTGCCCTACCTGTGTGTCAGCACAATTTTTGCTTCTGGAAAGTGCTCAGCTAGCTGCGGGACAAAGTAAGACCCTGGCTCATCCACGATAGCATCGTATCCTTCTTGCAGTAACATGTCCACAACCTTCTCCACATTTCCAGTTTCAACGGCATGTTTCCAGAGCTCTGCATGATCACCAACAAAGCAATCTGCCATATGGTATGGCTTGTAACCCATGATTTTCAAAGCCGCTTGTAGCGATGATGTGCCAGTTCTGCCTGCACCTGCTCCAATCACACGGAGGCCCTTGGATGGTGTATTCTGCACGCTGGGTGCAACAGACGAGAAGGGTACACTCTTTATCAATCTGGCTCCAAAGACCTTGCCCATTCTGGTGTGGTTGCATGTAGTTGCCAGAAGGAGAGCACAGAGACCTGCGAAACACCAAGATATCTTCTTTGAAATCATCATGTTCAGCTTTCTTTCCTTACCTTTTCTCTTTACTCCGGTTGCGTGCCACCAAAGGACAAAACTATGTTTCCTGCTGGCTGACGAAGCCTAAAATTCCAGGGGCTGAGCTGGATTGAGCACTTCTCATCTGTACAGCTGAAGGACAACTTTGGAGTTGAGGTACTACACTGTGTAGTGTGTAGTACAAACTAAAAATAAAGTTAGCTTTTACCTAACATTACCCAACCTACCGGTACCCATTATTGTTTCCAGGCAACGCTTGGACGCTAAAAGAATTTATTTCGATTGAATCGAATCATTCGATTCGATTCTTTCTGTCAACGGATCGAGGCTGTTGTACGATCATACGAGTACCGGTACATGTACCGTAAGGTAGCGGTGTACGGTATGGCTACGGTCGTACCGATCTGTCTACCCAGCACTAGTAGACTCTACCTGCCTGCATGGTACCAGGTAGGGTGTGGGCTCTGCAGTTCCGCCTGGATTGTGCCACAGCCTGATGCATGGCTAGCTACTTTTGCATGCTTTGGGCGCGGTGGAGCCATGCCCGAAAGTCGTCTAATAGTAGCAAGCTGATGTAGCAACCCAGCCAGCAAAACAAAGGGCCACATGAAACAAATAATTTCAGGCGCAGGGTTGCCTTTCGAAATCACGAGGAAGCAAGCAAAATGAGCTCGGAATGCCAGCCCGCGGCAAAACAAGAATTGAATCGAATCCGCAGAAATGAACAGAGTCGAGTCTATCGCACAGAGTTCATCGCGCTAGCTAGCTAGAAGGGATACTGCATAGTACGAAGAAATGGAGACTTCCCATACGATGCTCGCCACTGCTACCGGGGACGAGCCATTCTGTCTCGTGATGGTGGTGCGGACTCGAGTGGCGATATGAACGCCTTGGGACAAGAGCGGCAGGTTCGAGAAGATCAACCTGTCATCTCGAACCTATGCTTTTCCTACCGGTAACAGGTCGGGCTACAGAAGGAGGGTCGACACCTTGGAGCTACGCTGTATCACCAAGGAGGAGAGATGCGAAAGCTGCCTGTTCTCTTTTGAAGGCGGATGCCCATGTCTTGTTGCCAACCGTCGTACCGGCAGCGTCTATGATGCCACTGCCACCAATGGCCTAGATCGTACTGGCAGGCATACATTGCATGACCAAAGTCAGCACATATGAATGATAAGATTCAATCATCGGTGCTTGTACATTCTGAAGTGCACCCTACTTGCTACCTAGAGAAAGTCTTGTGCAGTTGCAGATCTATGAAATCTCATGTACGGTACTTGTCGGCATCTCCTCTCGCTGACTGATGCTCTTTACTTCGTCTTTTGCAGTTCCTTGTTGATGTTGCGTGGGGCAATGGGGCTGACATAGAACTGGTGCATGAGCACGCCAATCATACGCAAAACGTTGAATACGGCAAAGCCCATCCACACTCCCGAGACGCCATGTTCCTGAGGAAAGACTTGCAGTGCTGCGACACAGCCCACGGTAGCCACAATGGTACTCACGGCCAGAAACATAAAGTCTCCACAACCACTCATGACACCTTCCCCGATAAACACGAGACCATTCAATGGTTGCAAGATACTGGCCAAAATGGCTGGAGCCCGGGCTGCCGCCCGCACTTCTTCCATGGGAGTGGCCTTTTGAATCCACGGCAGGACCAAAATTTGCAATCCACCCAACAAGGTACCCAAGATGAGTCCCCAACTCATCATGCGGTTCGAAGTGGCCTTGGCGACCCGGGCGCCTCCCTTGTCACTGTGCAATTCATTGGGAATGACAATTTGCGCCACCACACTGAGCGCCATGAGAGCGACACCACCGAGTTGAAATGTCTGCAATGCCATTTCATGTGCCGCCGCGGCAACTCCCGTCTTGTCAATGCCCTGTGTGACCCGTGCGACGGCGATAAAGGTAATGTTAAAAGCAATCAAGCGTAGCTGCATGGCGAATCCTCCCTTGATGAGTGGCAATAGTTTGGACCAGGACGGGAACCGAAAGAGTTTGGACATTTTGATGAGATCTCTCTTGGCGAGCAGGTAGAGAAATGTGATGGCCGATACGACCTCAGAAAGAAGTGTCGACAGGGCGTTTCCTTTGAGACCCATGTCGAATCCAAAAATGAGGATTGGATCCAATACGCAGTTGATCATGCTGGTAATGACACTAATCATAAAGGGAGTTTTCACATCCAAGATTCCTGTACGATTCGCCGATCATTCAATCAATCGAACATGTGGAGACGAGAGAGAAAGCAACGTAAGGAGTGAGGGACAAACCGTACAGAAATGACCTGATGCAAACAAAAGAATCCAAACAGACGATTCCGCATAATAGTGCCATATGTCCACACTCCATCAATCAATCAGTCAGTCAAGACAAACGTTGAGTACGGTACATTACGTACCTCGAAATGCGGAGAATCCCACGAGAGCAATGAGTGCTGGCAAAAAAGAAAAGGCTCGGACATTCAAGTAGATTTTGGCAAATTCCATGGCGGGTGCTCCCGTTTCCAGCACGGTTCCCAAGGTGGAATCGGGATAATTGTAAAAGAGTGGCGTTCCCACGGCCGCAATGAGTACGGCCACAAAAAGCGCCTGACAGACGGAATCTTGAACGCCTTCCTGATTGCCCTTGGCATTTTCCTTACTGACCAATGTCGACGTGACACTGGGCAAGAAGGACGCCAACCAGAATCCACTATTAAACACTTGCGTGGCGGCGGCTTGACCGGCCACTGCCAAGACGTTGCCCATGCGGTTGGTCCAAAACAGGTCATTGGCGCCCACGAGGGGGGTAATGGAAAAATTGATAATCATGGGGATGCTGATCATAATCAAGCGTTTGTCCAGTTCATCGAAACAGGGCCAAAGACCGGGTGTTGTTGCTGTTGTCTTGCTCTTGGTGCTAATGGTAGTGGCTTTTTTGGTTTCCACCTTATTGGGTGGTTGTTGGATCTTTTTGGACGCCGATCTCGCCGCGGAACCATGGGCAATCTCGAGTGGCGCCAAAAGGGCCAACACAAACACAAGAGGAGAGACCTTCATTTTGGTTTGGTAATAATGTCTCGAATGCCTAGTATTGCTGTGGTTTGCCGATGCCTTACTCCTTCAAGATAAAACAAATTGTGTTCTTCTATCAAACATCACAACAGTTACTGTTGGATTGGAATGCAAAATGACCCTTGACATCACGATGGGAAGCCATCAACAGGGAGGCAAAAGATACCGAAGCATCGGAAAATCTTTTGCGCCAAAGAACACCTTGCCGTCAACACAGCTGTTCTGGAGAACATGGGGGCGTTCTTTCAGACTGTCCTTTGCCCCAAATGACGTGGCAGGTGTTGCGTCTGCTCACATCATATTTCAGTTGCATCATGGTTTTGGGCTCCACCGTTGCATGAAGATCGGATCGTTGCACGATGATGGGATCATTCCCAACCTGCAAGATGTGTGTTTTCAGCAGCATCAAGCAACGTAGAAAATGATGATCCATTGTGAGCATTGTGATCTCAGTACATGTGCTTATTGCTTTGCTTCTATCATGCGACTCTCGCCCACTCTATACCCAATGAAACTAACACCCAGCCTGCGATCGAGCCATTCGCAAAGACAGCTGAAGAGCATCATGGTGAAAGATTTACATTCTATTTTAGTTGCCTACTAGCTAGCGAGCTTGTCATGCTTCATTTAAATGATACCAATGCTATTGCAGGAGACCATGTGCAGTGCCTTCAAGAAGGGAGTGTCCATTTCCAGTATCACTGACTTTTGCTTGTGATCAATGCACCAATAGCCCAAAAGCTCCTGCTGGTTCTTTTTGCAACTTCTTTGTCTCTTTCAACAAGATTGTTTATGTGAAGAAAAAACCTTGTCATTCGCACTCCGATGGAGGCACAATCAAGAGGCACAATACATATTCATCAAGGGGGTTGGAGTTGGCTCTGGGGTAGGTGCTGCCATTAGTGACCAAGTCTCCAGCTCAAAGTTTCCTTGGAACTGGCGTCATGACTTCAAGTAGTGGAAACATCTTGATCAATTCCAAACCGCTGCAAAAACTTTTGGAGATCGTATACTTGCGGGGCTCGTGTGTATTCGTGATGATGGAATTTCTCAATGCAATTGGCAGACTTCTTTTGGGTTATTCCTTTATCGAGCAGCCCTTTAAAGCAAACAGCACGCATTGCAGGGCTAAGGTAGAGTCTTCAAATTGGTGCTTTGAGTATCTAGGTGGAAAGCAAGTCAGACAAGAGACATTGCTGTCATCTGCATCAGCACTATCTGAATTGGAACTGCTGTCACTCGAGTCATCTTCCAACTTGCCGTCATCAGAATCCGAGGTATTCCTGCCTTCAACATCAGTGCTATCTTGAGAACCATCTTGTGTCCCACTTCCTTGCGATTCCACACAAGTTTCTGCTGCACATTTCGGGCTTGATCTGTGAATGTCTCTGTTAGTGCCTCCTGGATTTCTTTGACTAGATAAACTTTGGGCCAGATGGAACCATCACTCTCTTCTGTCGTTGCCCTGGCGCCTTTGCGCAAATGTACTTTGGCAGTGGTATCTTCTTGGCTCACAACAGGACCAGCAGTGACAAGTGACAGCCAGGCCACAAAGGCGAGGCATGCACCGACAATCCCTTTCATGCTCCTTAGCCATCCCTTTTCGCCTGATCAAACCAATTATCTGGCAGCTTTGGCAATCCGGCAGCTGCACAGTATAAAAGGGAGCTTTGACGGTGGTGAAGCCTATGACTAGTTCATGAACGGTATGCCACACGACAAGACGTTTTTCTCGGCGGGCATAGCTCAAGTTGGAGGTTCCCTGCACACACGCTATCTATACTGGTTATTATTGATTTGCCTAATCAACTACAGTCGCTCCAACACGGTCAGTGACTCGATATGACGCGTCTGCGGGAACAGATCAATCGGTTGTACCAAGGTAATCTCATATCCCCACGACACCATTTGCTGGACATCCCGGGCCTGTGTCGCCGGATTGCACGACAGATACACAATCCGTTGTGGTCCAAACTCTTGCAGCTGCTTTAAAAACAATTCATCCGATCCTTTCCGGGGTGGATCCAGCATGACGACTGTGGTATCCCGGGGAAATGTTTGCACGTGTGGATTGTCAAAAATAGCCTCGGCGCGGGATGCTTCAAAGGTGCACTTGTGTTGTAGTAAATTGTTGGCGGCCGTTTGTGTGGCTTCTTGAATGGCTTTCTTGTTGATTTCAATGCCGACGCAAGTATCAAAGTGTTGTGCGGCCGAAAGACAAAAGAGTCCACTGCCGCAGTAGCAATCGACAAAATGGGTCATTCTGGTCTGACCATCCGGTGCTGGAGCCGATGCCTGTTCCATGACCAAATCTACCATTTGGGGTAAAATGTACAAATTGTTCTGTTTACAAGCCACAACACAACACAACACAACACAATAAATAAAGATGAGAGTCCATTTGGCAAATACAAACGTTTTCTGCGAGAGCTTGCATGCTTATTAGTACGTAGCTACGTACCTGAAAGAAATTTCCCGCTTGATAGGTAAAATCAATGTCATTGACAGTGGTGGTCATGTACTCGTTATGATCCGTGACGACGGTATCATTGTGCACATTGGCTTGTCGCAAGAGCAACGTAGCTCCGAGTGATTTATGATAGGGTTGATGAAGGAGATTGTTTCGTATTCTCTGATATTCTTCATTAATCGGTGCTGTGGCAATGGGGCAGGAGGGGACATCGATAATGGACCGCACCGATCGTCTTTGAAATCCAATCGCTTCAATCATGGGTGGTGGAGTATTGTCGTCAAGTGCTTTTTGTTTTCGTTTTCCTTTGCGTCGTTTCATACCTCCAGGAGCCTGAAAGTGAGGTGTAATTTTGGATCGATATCCAAATACTTGATCCGTGCCCATGGTGGGTTGTACGGGCACCGGCAAATCGACGTGATGCTGTTGGAAACATTCTTGGACGTGTTTGGTTTTCCAATGCCGTTGCAGTGCAACGGGCATGTGTTGATATTGACATCCCCCGCACTCGGATGCCAAAGGACATGTGGGTGGTATCCGATCGGGACTCGCTTCCACCACTGAAATCAAATCGGCTTCACTGTACGATTTGTGATTGCGAAAAATACGGGCCACCACGGTTTCTCCCGGAATCACGTTGGGGACCATAATCACCCATTTTTGTGTATTGTTAGTATTAGTATTAGTAGTATTGTTGTTGTCACTGTCGTTTGTTGTGTCAGTATTGTTGAGTGTAGTGTGATCGGCCAGGTGGATTCTGGCAATTCCCATGCCCAAGTTGGTCAAAGTGTCAATCTGAACCGTCAATTCTTCATGGTACTATATGTAGAATAATAATAAGATAAAGAAACAGGTTAGCTTGGCTCTTCACTAGATAACAGTACACCAGTTCGTCACTCATTCATTGGTACGTACATCAAATGGGTAGGACACAAACTTTCTGGGAATTCTGTACTTGTTGGCATCTTCTTCCTTATTAGTATTGTCGGACACTGCCTCTGCTGTTGTCGTGCTGGTGGAGTGCAAATGCCATCGAACGAGATTCTGCCCTCGTCCCAACGCTGCTCGGGGAAATAGATATCTTGGAGCCACCAGCGCTAAAGCACATCTGGACAGCATCATGCCACAGCAACAACAACCGACCACAAGCACAGACTTCATCACAGATAGAATAAATAGATGCAAGTCCAATACAGATACTAGGAAGAGGAGACCCAAAAAATGAAGCAACGGAAAAGTTAGATTTGGATCCAAGCAAGGGTGATGGCCAAAAACGTCAGCATCCGGGGCTCATTACCCAACGTCGTGGAAACATCGTGGGAGTCACATCAGTCACATCAATCAAACCACGCTTGCGATTTCAACTCCCACGCTCCTTGAGAAATCTGCATGAAAAGTTCCGACGGACACTACTTTTGAAGAAAGAACAGAATCTGGAAAAGGAAGCAGGACATCAACCCACGCTCTTTGGTGGGGACAGCAGAAGGAATGGCACGAAAAGTTTCGACCGACATCTTTGGCTGCATGCATGCATGCATGCATGGAAAGCGAAAAACAGGAACGCGACGACACCAACCAACAAGACACAATCTATCATTACTCAACTCATTGCTTGCAACCGACATGCAGGCATCGCTACAGTACCACTGACTAACTAATACTGTACTAGCTAGTAATACAAGAAAGAACTGATCGTTAACAAAATGTTGCCACCAAGAACACGGGCGGAGACGAGCACTGCTCGGGTCAAGAAGATGAAGGAAGGCAGTCGTCGTCTGTTTGTTCTTGCAAGGCTGGCACTGGGCACTGTCGTTGTGGCAACAACCGTCTCACAAGGGTGGAACTTTGCCCTCGAAAGAGAACACTTTTGGCAGCTTGCCGAAGCAGAGGCGGGTATCATCATCACGGACCAGCAACAAAAGGAAGAGGAAAGCTGGCCTCCATGGCCGCAATACACTTCCTTGGACTACAACTACAGCATCATCAATAGAGGCAAAAAAGTCCATGGAAAGTGGAAATCCCAACGCAACAAGTCCCAGATCCCTCCTCTCTTTTTAGATCGACTGGACCAGTATTTGGGGCCCGAATGTCCTGCCAACACCAACACAACCAACACTAACACCAACACGACTACTCAAAAGGCATGTGATGATACGGTGCGGTTATCACTAGCGGATGTCAAACGCATTGAAGAACAAGTCATGAAGTTCAACATACCCCGCAAGATTGTCCTTCGTGTCAAAGATGTGCCCTACATTAATCTCCAATATACACGCTGGAATTTGGATATTGACACTCTGGACAAGAAGCTAGGGACGCGAAAGATGTGTCCCAATTGTCACATTCGCAGTTCCAAAACGTTCCTTCGTCCCGACCCCGACAAAGAACCCGCTCATGTCCGATACTACCCTTCTTGTCAGGATTACAAATACGCCAAACTGTTTAAAGAGGGTGGGGATGGAAGGGATTTTCCAGATCAAGTCTTGGTGGGAGACTGTGGAGAGTCCCAATACGGATCTGGTGCGCCGTTTTGGAAGAATGGCAAACAAAAGATGGATTACGACTCTACCGTGGTGGATGATGATCAGGATGGCAGTAATCCCTTTGTCCGAACGTATGCCCATTTGCATCTGGCACCGGGGCATGTCTATCACGAAAGTGGACTGCCGGCATTTTCCAATGTGAGCGACTTTGTACAGCATTTGCTCACCACGCCCGTCCCATCGTGGCCAAGACACATCAATAATACACAGATTCAGCGCAAACTGAAAAATGATACATCCATCTTGGAGAATGTGCACCAACAGTTTGATGCTGCCTTTCTCCACAGTGACTGTGGACATTTGCGAGGCAATCTGCTGCGGGAAATGATTGAAGGGTCGTCCAAAGAGTCACGGGTTGCTACCATTGCACGATATGGCAAATGCTTTCACAACATGAATGCCAAGAATCTCATGGGTGGGGGTTACTGGAGAGGCAATGCAAACTCTTCCTGGAGTGAGAAGATGGCAGGTTTGATTCACAAAGATCAAGAAGGTCACAGGGATGCCTCCAAGGTGGGACTCATGTCTCATCACAAGTTTGGATTTGCACTGGAGAATACCTTGAGCCCCTATTACTTTACGGAAAAGAGATGGCAGGTACTCATTGCCAATTCGGTTCCCATTGTCTGGAACAACCACAACTCGATTCAATATCTGCCAGATCCGGATGCCGCCCTCTTGGTGCCGGTTCCTCTCTCCAAGAAGCATGTCCAGAAACTGGCCCAGCAAATACACTATTATGCGCAACCAGAACACGAACAAGAATATCTGGAAAAGTTCTTTGCTTGGAAACATCGAGGACTCCGGCCGGACTTTGTGCGCAAGCTATTCCTTTCCACGGATTTTCTGTTTTGTCGTATCTGTGAATACATGGCACACCATCACTTTTATGATGATGACGAAGAAGAAGAGGAATGACTGCCTAGCTAGCTACAAAGGGACACTGGCTTTTAAAAGAAGGCTCATGGAGGGGAGCGAGCTGGGGGGTATTTGGTGATGTGGCTGTGATACCGGTACTGTGTCGGTAGAAGACTCAAAGGGATGCATTCAAACCGGAAGTACTAGTACTTGCTAGTTGTATCGTGACGTAGACGAATATTTTAGCTATTCAGTTTGTCATACTATCTGGCAACTGAGATTCATTGTCTCCCTTGCATATTTCCCGGGTCACCATTTGCGCCACAGTACACCGTCAAGTTTCCCACCAAAGCTTTCCGTTCCATGGGTCAAATGAATGATATCTTCCGTCCGGGAAATGTTCAGACTCTTCCCTTTCCAACACGGATCAGAAGTCATTGCCCCGGACTCAAAACACATTGCACTATTGGATGCACCAATCATGCAGTATGTAGTTATAGCTTGGCTGCCGATCCTTCCGTATGCATTTCTTACAACTCGGAGCCATGTGATTGTGGCTGATTCTTCTTCTTACTACTGCCTCGTTGCATGGTTCCATAGAGCAATGTCAAATTGATGCGACAATTCTCGTATCCCTTTCGGAACTTGTACTGGTCGGTCTGATGAAAGAGTGCCGAATCAAACAAGACGGCTCGATTCTGTTTGTGGGGAATGGTGACATTGGCAAACTGTGTCGGTTTCAGCAATTCGTCCCGGACAAAGTCCGTGTCGGTATTGTACTTGGTAAACTCCCAGTCGGGTGGTGGTTTGGCGGTAAAGACGACCAATCCTCCGGATGTCGGATCCAAGTTGGCATCGTCAGGCGTTAACCAAAGATTGACATTGACGGCCGCCTCATCGGCATGCAGATTAATGCCCGTGTATTCCGCGTCGTATCGATAGGCCCACAGGTAGCGAAGGAAATGTCCCGCCATGATACGAGGCAATGCTTGGTACAGTTCCATACTGAGTTGGAGTAAGATGCGATCGTTCAATCCATCGTCAATGTAGGCACCGGCATATCCTCCAAACTGCAGTGGCATTTTGGTCTGATACCAGACGGTCTTTTCCAAGAGCAATTGTCGTATTCGTGAGAGAGCGGCGGGATTAAGAATGTCATCGACCACGACAATTCCTGGAGTCGAATCTTGTTCTTCTCCCATCCATTGTCGTTGAATGCGATCCAAATCCAAATTGGGATTCAAGACGGGCAGGACTTGGCCCGTGTTGGGATCTTTGAGTTGACCGAATTGGGGCGCATAGAGTGCCTTGTTGTATATGGCTTCAATCCCCAGCTGTTTGTCGTGTGGTTGAAAGGGATACAATCCCCGTGTGCGTTGCAATTGATCCAACGGAGGGATCCGGTCCAAGACTTTTTGGTACAGAGGCACCACGTGAGTTTCCAAAAAGGCTGCCATTTCTTGGTCGCGATCACGACGAAGTTGCGTGACCAAATACTGTGCTTGTTCCAGATCCATCTTGAGTTTGTAGGCCGTTGTGTAGGTGGATCCTCCTCCTCGAGACACCAATTGCTCCGGTAGCGGATGCTGGATTTTGGCACTGTCGTGATTGCGATCGGATCGTTCAAAGACATTGGTCAATGCCCAGTGCAGTCCATCCAGGTCGTTGCGCTCGAAAAAGTACGCAATGTCATCGGCGTCCAATAACGGCGGAAAGTCGACTTCTTCTTCTTCTTCTTGAGCTAGTATTGTACTACTTTTCAGCAGTAATAATAAACTTACAGACAGCAGGATGAGTGTTCTTGCAAGTCGTAGCGACCCCATCTTATTGCTCATCTACTAGCGCTAGACCAGAACCGACTAGACTGCCTGAAGCTATGGCAAATGGCAGGAAACTTATGGGGTAACAGATTGGTTGGATGACATCAGCCATCACCAACCCCCGAGAAAAGATCTTGGATCTTTTGGGATACCGGTACTTAATTAATAAATACAGCTCTGAAGGTTTATATTCTGTTCCGTTTGGTGACGTCGACACTTCCACCTCTGACTCACAAGAAATTGCCGCCAACAACAAACAATCAGAACAATAAACCAAAGACGTCGATTGCCTCGAGATTGATGACTCGGCTGCTGACAGCATTGCTCAGGGAGATTCGAATGCTTAATCCCAACGAGATCACAATTCTGCCACAAGCGACAAAAAGTCTGACTTTGGACTCAGTTTTATTCGTCTGCCACAAAATCCACGAAGAAAAGTCTGCGACAATGACAGCAGCACACACTGTTTTCTACGCGACAATGCTTGCCATGATGACCCTCCTTCATGGAGTCAGTGCCTTTCAAGGTGCAAGCTTGGCTACTTCAAGCGCCACTCGTCATGGCAGTGTGATATCCAACTCCCAATTGAATGCAGCCACATCGCTGCTGCCGGATTTCTCTGCGTTGCCCACGACATCCAGCAACAGCAACGTCCAGTTGCGCACGTACACTCACGACGGCTGGACTTTGAAATACCGGTACAAACCCGCCGCCAAGGGCAAAGAAAACGAACCGCCCTTGCTGTTGGTCCATCCCGTGGGAATTGGCATGTCCAGTTGGTACTGGGACGAATTCATGACCAGCTGGAACGACGGAGGTGCCGTCTACGCACCCGACTTGATTGGTTGTGGCATTGACAATGGCAGTGATGCGTGGAATCCACAAGAACGTGGTTTGTTCTTTCCATTGAGCTGGGTGAAGGGATGCGAAACACTCTTGCAGCAAGTCATTATGCAATCCAACTATAACAACAACAATCCACTCTCGTCACTCCTGCCACAAAAGAAAACTGTGACGGTCGTCACACAAGGTGGCTTGGCACCCGTGGGAGTCATGCTGGCGGCTCGCAACCCCGATACCGTCTCTCGTCTCGTCATGTCATCGCCGCCCACATGGGCCGAAATGACCACGCCCGTCCCCGAGGCCGAACTCGAAAAGAATTACAACTTTTTGCAATCCAACTTGGGCGGTGTAGCATTTGGAGCACTGGAATCGGAATGGGCCATTCGGTTCTTTTCCAACCTGTTCTTGTTTCAAGGCAATGCCGATGACACGTGGATGCAAGAATGTTTGCAAGAATGCCGTCACGTCAATGCCCGTCCACCCATTCAAGCCTTCAATGCTGGTCTGATGCAGCATCGATCCTATCAAGAAGAATTGACGGCGTTGTCGCAACCCACCACGATTGTGCAAGGCAAGGGAGACAACAATCGGATTCCCTTGCGACAAGAGTATGAAACAGAAATGAAAGATTGTTCGGTGGTGACGCTTCCAGAAGGTCTGAATGTGCTGCCGTGGGAGTCCGCCGGGTTGTTTGCCAAGACGGTTCAAGAGGCGCAAGAAAAACTAGCCCGAGTCAAGAGAGGATGGTGAAGGAATTCAATAGAACTCAGGAGTGGAAGGATTGAAAGAAAATGCATGTCGCTTACAGCCTACAGGCAAGGTACCATCGGACCGATGCCTCTCACTCAGCATAATCGGAAATCACAGCCAGCATTTAGGGAAGGTCCTCTGTAGGTCGCGTTGAAGAGTCGAGTGCGGTTGCAAGGGAGGGACGCACCCGGCAACTGACGGTTGCGACCCAGACTGTGTTCAACCACGTCCCGTGCTGTGCCTTCAAGACGCGAGTTCGCAGAGAAGGATAGAGACAACATGTCGCTATTTGTCCTTTGGTTACCCAAATGAGCCCGAGGCTACAACGACGAAGTAGGCGCATTGCATAATCGACCAGATGGAACAAGTAACTACAATTCTAGCGAGCATTCTTATTAAAGCTCGCCTTCTACTAAAACCCCACGAGCAAACACGCCCCGTGTTGCCTCGCATATACACCACTGCTGCTGTGATTGATGACATAGCCCCCCCTTCATGCAACATGCGCTTGGGGAAGCTTGGAGATGACCGTTTCCTGTAGCTTGTTCTGTGAGTACTCGCTGAGCAATGGAAGCAACAATTTCAACAAGCGACCAGCTTCAGAAGTAAGCCCTGCGGACAGCAAGCTCTCAGCTACCAGAGAGGCCTCCAACTCAAGCTTCGTGACATCTTGATTGTCATTCTCGAACAGCCCAATATCTTGTCTTAGAGCTAGACTGCTCTTGTGTGCTCGGACTTTTCGGGCCAACTCCGCCTGGTTGGCCTTGCCAAAACAGTAGATTGCCTTGTCGAGCCAGTCCAGAGCTTCCTCAATATCGCCAGTCTCCTCTGCATGAATAGCGTTGTCCAATCCAAGCGACATCCATTCATCTGGCGTGCGCGACATCGCTTCCATGTTTCCTACTGTCTGCTTCACCGCAAGGGCATTTTCCCCCGTGCCAGCAGACGTGAGCCATCGGACAAATGCATCACCAGATGGTGACCTACTTGTTTCGGCAAAGACTAGGCGTTGAATGCACCGGGTGATACCAGTGTACAACAACTTGAGAAGGCCTTCAAGTTCTGGGTTACCAGAACCAACATCGTGTATGTTACGGCCCAGCAGGAGATCGCGAAATGGCTTTTGATCTGCAGCTGGTAGCAGCCGAAAGAAGTCAAGCACAATAACAGTCTCAAACTCCAGCCCTTTGGCTTCCCTGATGCCGTACACCAAAGGGTAAGCAAGCCTTTGTTTCAGATTTGAAACAGCAGTATCATGGGTCAAGATTACTGCTCCTTCAAGCTTTCCAAGAAGCTCCTTGACAGAAGGCGGATCAATCCTTTGCAAGATACTGGGCCTGGGGCCTTTGAACAGCCCGCGGTCTTTGCTCAGCTGCTTCGCCGAATCAGGAAATGCTCCAAAGAGGTGTTCTAGAACGCCAGCGGCAACGGAGAGAACCCCTGAGTGGCTGCGAAAGTTGACATTGACGACTTTGGGTTTGTCAGGAATGAGTTTGCGGTCTTGCTCAAAGAGATGATGGCCCACAGAGCGAATGTCCTCAAAGCGGAACTCAACACCTTCCACCACTGATTGGCAAGGGTCCCCAGCAAGGAAAAGTCCACCAGGACCAGACAATCGAAAGAAGAGAGTGATTTCGGCTTGGGTGTAGTCTTGCACTTCATCAACATAGATTTTGGCATACTGGATTTCATAGTAGTCCAGTGGTGCTACCTATTGAAGACTACACAACTTTGACAGGAGGCTTGATATCCTATCACAATCATCCCACAACTTCCCATCACAGCAATACTGGTGGTACTTTTGGTAGACATTGTAGACTGCAATACGTTGATCTTCGGAAATGCGGCATCGTTTCCTTCCAAGCGACAAGTACTCCTCCTTGGTCAATGGCTTCCCTCCCATTGCTGCCTCAATTGAGCCTTTGATGAAGCTTCGAATGTTTGTCCAAGCAATCAGGGCATCGACACCCATCGATGGCTGCCAAATGTCGCGTTTGAAGCGGTGGAAGTCAATGTAATGGCTGGGCAGAACTGTGGGTGTGCCTTGCACAAGTGACTGAACAGCATTTTCTAACTTTGGAACCAGTGATTGAAACGTAGTGAATTCGCTCTGTGTTTCCAATGAGTCAGACCCAGTTCTAACAATGCTTTCGACATAATCCCTCAGGCGAGCAGATCTGGCCACAAATAGCTGTGAGAAGGACTTCTGATCGCCCACCAAATATCGATCATAATCCATCTTGTTGCAGATGCAAACAGTTTTGCCTGTGCCACTGCGGCCCAACAGAAGTGTCGTGCCTGAGCACTCAACAACATCCCGCTCGGCAACTGTCAAATGAAGGGGAGGCTTCCACGGGTCATCAACCAGCTTGTTTAGCTCGTCATATCGGACACTGTAGAGCTTCAGCGGTGTATGTCCTCGTGGATCAAGCAGGATAACGTCACTATCGTCACAAGATTCAGATGTTGTATGATTGTTCTGCTTGAGAGCTTCCCTAGCCGATGTAAGCTGTCGACTGCTCCTGCTCTCGGCATCGTCAATCAAATCCATAAGGCGTGAGACAGATTTGTGCTTCGAAACATACCAAATCAAGAGGTACCCATTGCTTTTCTCAGTCCACAAGATTCGAAAGCCACTCTTCTGCTCCAGGTACGTTTCGTAGATCGTAGTCTTGCTTCCCGTCAGCCGCTTGGCAAGGATGCGGCTCCGATCTCCTCTGGCCAACTGCTCCGTTCTTCTGACGAAAAACTCGCGATACTTGCTGTCAGCAACACGGAGCCATTTCATTACTTCCTTTGTCATCAAGACCTTTTTAAAATGGGAGTCGGCAGCATCTTTTGTGCCAATGCCAATCTCAGTCGTTGATGATGTTTTGCTGGGTTCACCAATCGCAACAACAGCAGAAGAGTCAGATTCGTTGATTGTTCCATTTTCCGATAGTGGCTCAACCAGCAGAACCCGCTTGCCAGCATCATCCAGTACTCTGACTGTGTCAAACAGATCACTCTCATCAATACCAAAAGAAGCAGCCATGTCCTCCTCTTCCTGGAGGCTGGCCCATGAGAACAGTTCCATTTTCGACCCATGCCTCTGTAGAAACGATAGTGTACCAGTCCAAAGGTCCTGAAATCTTGCCGCTTCTGCCATATTAGACAAGAGCGCCGCCCTGTGCACCCTTCTAGTTGAGCATCCTCGAATTCTAGCTTGTAGCCATACAGTGGCGTGGATAGCCATCGTCTTTCTTTTTACATCCTCTCTGCACTGCATTATCGACGACAAGAATGTGTTGATGATTCTTCTTGCTTTTTTCTCCACAATCCATGTCTTGCAGGAAGCGTTGCTGTCAGATGCCACCTGTAGGACCGTTCGACCCTGACAGTCTTTGTCTTCAAGTGATGCCAGCTTCTTTTCAACAAGCCACTGCAGGACATCTTTTCGGTCATAGGCAGCTGCAAGGTGCACCAATTTCAAGCCCTGGCTGTCATACCAACTGGGCTGAAGTCTAGCTGATGTTATTGCAGCTTGAATGTCAGTCAAGGATGCCCGTTGCTTGATGGGATCAAGTCTCGACCAGATAGTTCTCTGCTTATTTTTAAAGTCTTCAAGAAGATTGTCAATCTTCTCAATCCCCCTGTAGTGATCAGCTCGTATCCACTGGATGTCAAGGCCATAGTGGAGCATGAGTTCAATCCATTTTCGAAGAGTCGCCAATCGATCAACCTCGGGGTCAGCTTTCGTGACATCAGCATTTTGAATGTATGCTCGTGTAATTTGATTCATGGTGTCGCGACACCTCCATGGTTTGAGACCCTTGTTGGTGCAAAGAAAGTCCACGAATTCTCGTCCCGTCTCCTGTACAACATCTTCGAACCTGTAAAGTTCCTCAAACATTATAGCAAATACCATCAGGAGAAGTTGGGGTTGGTAGTCCCCTTTCTTAGCGACGAAGGATAAGAGTGCAGGCCCAGCTGTTCCGCCTAAGCTGAAGCTCTGTGGAAACCGCAGGTCCTGCGAATGAGTCAAGCAACTGTGCAGAACAGCACAAAGCAATGAAGACTTCATACCATCCTGTCTGTCTCCGTATGCATGACTCTGCGGTGAATGGACGGGCGACAGAACTGGGTCAGGCAGCATGCCACCATACTTCTGAATTTCGTCAGTGAATACCTCCAGATCATCAAGCCGCCCTGACTGTGCAGCACCATGAATTGCAGCTTGTAACCTATCCTGCTGTGATGACTGAAATGTGATGGAATTCTCCAGACCAAGAAAGATCCTTGTTAGATTCGTGTGGCCACGTGTGGCTAAGATTCTTGTTGTTTGCACTTCTTTTTCTGCATCCCATCCTTTTCCACCGCCTGAAAGACTCCACTCCAGCAAATCGTCATACCCCTCATAAGCGGCAATAATGTAGAACAAGTCGGTCTCCCTAGGAGTCTTAACGAGATACCACATAAGCTGGGAGCGCACATCTTGACTGCCAACATGCACGTACAAATCGACTGGAAGCAACCTATCTTCTGAAACAACGAGGTGTTGCAGCTCGTGACCGTGGAAGCTCTTGCGATGCTGGCATGCCGCCTCGAGGATGACATCTATCAAAATCTGGATTGACTTGACCAATTCACCTTGTGCAATTTGTTTTCGAAGCCTACGCTCCCCTTTCTGAGCAATGGACTGCAAAACAGAGCTCAGGACAAGCCGCGCTCGGACGACCTTCAAGGCCTCAAGAGTGTCCGCGTCATCTACAAATCGTTTGCTGAGCTTCTGTAGAATGCGATGCGTTTGGAATGGGTCTGCCACAGTGATATCTCCAACCCAAGGTGCCTGCTCTTGGAGTTCGTGCAATGTTCTCTTCTCTTCAGGTGAGTAGGCAGCATAGTGCATTTTCCAACTGACACCACGGTTACCTTCGATCATGAACGTGTACCAAAACACTTTCTCCTGACGGTCAAGATCAGAAAGCAACATCAAGAACAGCCATATTATAAGTGGACCGTTAGCCATCAAGCAAAACCTCTCCAAGGCATCTGAAAGGTAAAATCCTGATGGTAACATTGCCTCTTCCCAGTCGTCGAAGAAAAGCTCATGCCATCTCCTACCCTGCAAGCATTTTGTTTCCAAAATGAATGATTTGATAGCCTCCACCCGCAAGGGTTTCTGAACAAGCATATCTTCCAACTTCTGCAGATCTTGTTCGAGGAGTACGAGCAACTCCTTGTCGGTACCCCACTCGACGACGTGCTGAAGAGGAGACCGCTTCGTCCTTTCAACTAGAGCCCCCCACTTTATATTGAATACGGGGCTACCCCAGGATAGCATCAAGTCTGCAAGAGCCGTGAAGCCCCGATCCAAAGCAATATGGACAGCAAGCTGTCTCCCTGGTTCTCTTTTCGATGCGACCTTCAACAGAGGTTGGAGATTTCCGACAGACACCAGCCAAGCAGCAATTTCTGCTCTTCCAAAAGCAGCACAAGCATGAATCAAATTCCACCCATTGCAAATGGCAGTTTTTGGAGTGATCCACTCAGAAGAGATAAGCCACTGCAACGTTTGAAAATCGTCGTATTCCACCGCTGCAAAAGCCAGGTACACGCTGGATGTCAGCTGCTTAGGAATTGCCTGGTTTCCAAGAAAACTATCGACTTTCTTTCGACCAGTGACAAAGGGTTCTTTACATGCCAGGGATTTCGATTTCAAATCAGTGATGCCTTTTTCTTCCATCCAACGCAAGACACCGCACTGACGCCACCGAATGCAATCAAGAGGGTTTGGTGGAGGTAGGCCAATCTCTAACACAAGAAAGTCCAGTAGATTGAGGCGATTTGGTAAGTGTTCATCGTCTTCCAAGATCTGAATCTTGAATCCAACAAACTTAGAAACGGCTCGCGAATGAACCTTGGCGTCATCTTCTTGGATGGAGATGAGCCTTTCCACGAGGTTGATTGAATTGGCCGGGTCTTTCAGCATAGTGCGAAGCCTTGTGACGTAGTTTTGTCGCCCACTGTCGTCTGAGTTTCTGTATATGCATTCTGGTCCGTGGGCCACGACGTCGACGGCTTTCAGCGCCTCTTGGACTCCTTCTTGTTCTACCAACTCATGCTGGGCGTATTCGTAACAATCCTGATTGCTCACGACATCTGATTTCAGTGCCAGCAAAGCTTTCTTTGCAGTATCGGCATGAACCAGATGACGGATGATACTGGTATGTCCAAATTTGAGCAACTTCCCTACTATCGAATCGAGATATTGTGTCCGGTCGTTCCAAATCTCAAAGCGCATCAGCTTACGCCAAACGCTTCTTTCTTCCTTCACGGGCTGAATCGCGACGATGGATTCGATCTGAGCATGCGGTGGAAAGTCATCGCCGACACTATGAAGCAGGATACCGTGCAGCTTCTCCAGCCTCATGTTTTCTGTCAACTCTAACATCATTTTCGTCTTTTTGACATTCAAATTCGTAGGGAGGCTACAATACTCATCACTCTGGAATTTCAAGAATTGCAGACCCAGAGCGTCAAGGATTCTCGGGCTGAGAATGGAACTAAGAAGCCTGGTGTCTTCCATGGCAACAATCTCATGGAAGACCGAAACATTTTGCGAATTGCGAGAATCAAGCCCCACTTCTGGATCGTACCGTGGAATTTCCAGACATCGAGATTCTCTTGGACTCTCCCCATACGGATCATCTTCCTCTTCTGCTCTCTTCTCAATGTAGGCGTCTGCGTGGCTTTTGAAGAAGCGGACTGCGTGTTTTCCCTGCACAACCCGATGCAGGAAATTGAAATTGTGTTCGGGTTTTAGTTTTGCAGAGAAAGGAACTGAGTGGTTCTGTTGTAGCCAAACTATGGCATTGTAGCTCCCGTGCTCAATGGCCAAATCGACCAACAAATCCAGAATGAGTGAGCAATCCAGATTGAATGCATTGACAAGGTAGTCAATGTGCTCATAGTTGCAGTTGTTTTGAATTGCATTGGTCAATCTCTCTCGGGGTTGGGCATCGATGGGTGCTATGCATTCATCATTGTCCTTGTATATGGAATACCGGTAAGTTTCGACCCCTGGTTTTCCCTTTCCAGTTGACTTCACGACATAAGGCAAATAAAAACCGTTGTCCGTTTCGTGCACAAGACACACATTGCCCTCCTTCCAACCCTTCCCAGTAGCAGCAAAGAGCACCCTGTCCCCAATGTTGAATCGAAGGGGCTTCTTAAGGACGATCAAGCGATCCTCGTCAGCTTTAATTGGATAGGTTTCGAAATTCCCCAATTCACAAACGTAGGGGAAGACTAACCCGTCATGGTTGATCTCATCAGCGGCGAAGTCGTCAGCGGTGTCCCAAACGGATTTGATGGTAGCAGGCCGAAATTTTTCGTCACGATAGTGGTAGATCATCACTTGATCACCGACATCAAAACGGAGGTCCCAATCGTGTCGATCTTTATGTAGCATGAATGGCTTCTTCCTGGTACTATACTTCATCACATGGCATTGTTCCAGAACGGCGGGTCCCTGTTTTGCTTTCACATCGATGGGAAGCACGTAATAAGTGCCAAACTCGTCGTCATGGACACTCGCCAGCGCAATGTGCATGATTGTTCCGCGGATGAATCGAGAGAAACCTTCCGGCATGTACCAAACTCGGTCGAGGGCTGCCAGGAATTTGCCGCAACCACTGAATCTCGCATCGTGCTCATCTTGCTCCTGCTGGTGGTCCAGTTGTGCCCTTCGCTGCTGGATCTTCTCCTTGTGTGCTTTCTTGGCCTCCTTGGCATTACTCCCCCCTCCTGTACCCTTGATCTTTCGAGATTTCTTCCCCATATCTCTGTGGCTGTAGCTTGGTTACCCCCTCTCCTTCTTCGTACCGACGATTAGTTGTCCTGCTGCCTGCTGATGGTCGATATAATATGAAGCATTTTGAAAATGATAGCGAAAGAAGAAAGAGGAGTGGTGGATGCGATCTTTGGATCTTTGTGCAGTATCTTTTGAGTATACCGGTACCGTTAATTCAGATTTAACGACTGGCTGATCACGGTACCACAACACCGCTCGGGTTGGCTGTACTACATGTATTAGTAGCTGGGACCTACCGGTACCATGGCTACAATATTCCTCTGCGTTCTCAATCAGTTAGTCAGTCCACCCCTCTATGGGCTTTGCTTCGTCTCCGTGCCCAGACGGAGCCTCAGTTGTATATATGTAATGGGAAAAGCACAGAAGGAAGGATCTATCTGCGTTGCTTGACACTCATAATCTCTGTTGTGGCTCCCCAGACTCAGCAGCGTTGCCTTCGATGTCCGTGCACATTCCGACACAGCCAGCCATTCCGACACGGTTGTCAGTTTCTCGCTGTGGAGTGCCCTCCTAAAGTTATATTCAGCCAGGAACGCCTTGGTCCACGTTTCTCGCTGTCGAGTGCCCTCCTCAGGCCAGGAACGACAGGTCGAAGTGCTGTGACTGGACCACTGGCAAGTCTGGTTCTTATCAGGGACACATTCCTTCGGTAAGTTGGCTTTGGAAGGCGTTGGGCTCAGTTGCCCGGCCTAGCTAGAATCAGTGTCCTTTTCTAGAGACACAACCTCCAGCTTGCATCTTCTCGCTACAACGGGAAAGGGGCAGTCTCCTCGCCGACGTCCTGCTCAGTAATGAAGTAGCACCAGCTACCAGCTTGCTTTTTCACTTTTTCACCGCACATGGCAGTCACTAAAGGGGAAGCCCTTGAACAGGTACACTCCACAGTACTCCATGCTCCCTTTACAAACGTTGTCAAGCCCTACACGTACGTATCTAGGTCTACGACTTCTTTGGCTGGATTCATTCTTCAGGACTACTATGATATGGCTATCACTGTTTCTTTCTTTTGGCTACTGGCGCGGATCATCTTTTACATAATATCATTCAAATCTGTGCATTTCAGCAGATTTCCACTGAAGATGGAACGGCCTTATCCGATAGACTTCCTCTCAGCTCTCTGGAACTTCTGGATCGTCTGGGCTTGTCAAACGTGGTGTGCTTGATAGTCTGAAGACAGCGAAAGCTGTTGTTTGGATCCTCGTTGGCACTGACTACCAACAGATCAAGGATCTCGTTAGGATGAAGACTCGCGAAGGAATCCTCCAGATGATTCTGTTTGACAGGTAGTTGCCTCTTCGTTGTCCGCTTGTCGGTGGTCAAACCTCTGCACGAGGAACCTCGACGCATGTGGCTGCTTCTGGCTCTGTTTATCCTTCCTTGTAGGCGTGCACGTTTCTGCTCCAACATGGCATTGCTGGATGTAAGATTTGCGGGTGATGCAGGGGTATTCATGATGTCAAATGTAGTGATTGTGGAAAGGTTTGGAAATAATTTGTGAGCCTTCCACCCGAAAACTAATTGTCAGTGCGGAGGCAATGCAGCTCAATGTCAGGGGGAAGCTGAAGTCAGATGCCAAGAATGATGAAAGATTCAATCCCATCAATGTGCAGTCAGGAATGTAAAATGGTCAGAGTTCATCATGTCCCAAGACCGTGATCGAGTTTTGCCTTTACCGGTACCGGTTTGTCCTGTACTGCAGAATGCAGTGTCCATGGAGCGGGAGGAGGAGTACTCCACCTGAGAAATGTCTGCCAAAAGAAGAACACAGACCCTTTACCTCTTTAGTATTTAGAGATAATGACTGTGTATCTTGCTTATTCTTTTTTGGTGACCATGTCCTCTGCCAGGAAGCCCTTTGCAGCTCTCGAAGAAAGCTTCTCAGTGCTTCTCACTTCTCCGAGTGGTACCGTACCTCCTAACTCCTAACAGTGCAGCTTGTACAGCCGTACCGGTACAGCCTACTGTTAACTGAGTATGCCGCCATAGCTCTGAGTACAGCCTCGTGACTGTTGCCAATACTAGGAACGGCCAGACCAGTACAAAGGCCCCACCAGTACAAACTTCTTGGGGAACCCGGATGTTCCCTGTTGTTCACTCACAAAATCAGCTTGTCATTTTTGAACTGCTGCCGTTGAGGCTGATGAAGCTGCTGTCAATACCCCTATCAACATAACCAATAGAGCCACCCTTTCAATACCCTGAGATAGGGGATACATAATTTGGACGTGCCGGTCGCAGTGGTGGCATTGGCTTCTCCATTTGCTGGTTGTTGAAGCAACGAACGACTGGCAAAGTTAGGCAGCCATCTTTTGCAATTTTCGTCTATCACCGCAATCTATATCCCCATTCGTAGCCTTGTTGGACCCATCTGATGGATGTATTCCTTAAGATGGACAAACCAACAAGACTGGAATGGCTAAAGCCATTGATACTATCAGATGAACCACTAGAATATATGCTGGAACTGGCGTTTTGGATTTGTGGTCGGCTGCCACTTTTTCTATTAACTCATTAACTCGTTGATCCTACTCACTTTCAATGATAGAATCCTCTCAAATGTGCCCATTAGATCAATTCCCATGATTGGGTTGATAGCAGAAGGATCAAACAGTCCAAAATGAAGGTGAATCTGAGAACTTTGGAATATTTTGAAGAAAAATGAAGCATCTAGTTTGACATAAGATAATGCCTGCTACATGGCTGCGACCACTACAACCATCACATGGCTATGACAAGCAAAGAAAGTAGACAACTCTAGATAGTTAGATTGGTTGTGTACATGCCATATTGGTTGATACATTCTGGCCCAGACATCAACACTTTTTTGCTGTTGTATCATAGAAAAGTCATGGATTTCTAACCACGGTACCGTTGGCTCTGGTAAGATTGTTACAGCAAACAGCTCTACTGTTTTGCGTAATACAACTTTGTACTGGTCTGACCGTTCCTAGAATACACCTGTTTTTACTCTCAATCCCTTCGGGATTGCCCTCGGTCGCCTTCTCCTTCTGCTGCTCATCATCCATGGTCAAGTGGTTGGTTGTTGGCTATCTCTCAGTCCGGGGGAGAGCCTCACAACGCTTGAGCTGAGCATGACCCAGAAGGAGATGTGAAGTCAAGGTCAGGATCGTACAGTCTCGTGACTGTTGCCAATACACCTGAAAACTGAGGCTCACATTTTCAATTCAAATGCCAACTTCAGACATTCGGTTGTAACTTTCCGATGGACGACGAAGACAAACTGGCTCCCCTTGATTCCAAGTGGGATATGACGACCAAGTTCTGATCCACTGCTGGTGTAAGTCGAAAGCAAGCTCCATCTATACCCATACGACACCCCTTCAGAGTTGCCCCACCGCAGGTAGCCAACAACAATGGCCACTTCCCGGAGATTGAGCAGGCTTTTGTTGCTGTGGCCCACACAGATTGCGTCGTCGGAGAGTGGATTCCACTTCCCTATTCGGCCCACAAAGTATCACGAAAGCTCGAACGGCCACTCAAGAGTTCAAGACTAAGAGATAGCCTTACCATGAAGGAAAAGAGGAGCTGAAGGAAAAGTCGTCAAGAACAAGAACCCAAAACATATCGCGGCATAGGACCGGCATGCTAGACATTAGAGAAGTGGTGACAACAGCTGGTCAGCTGCAATAGGAGGGATGGAATCCTCCAGAGAAATCCAACCTAAGGAGTGGAACATCTCCGGTTGATGAGCAGGCAAGCAGGTGCTAGGAGTAGCACGAAGGAATCCACCCGCCAACGCCCTCGTAGCTCTGGTACACTTTCTACTGTAACAGGTTCTCAACGGTCGAAATCCTCGTGTTATTTAACTCGATAGGCCAATTCGGATTTCGAACTCTTACACATACGATTCGAATCGCCGGTAACGGCCTGATGTCAAGATCCAATCGTATTTTGCTACTAAAGCCTCTATAGTAAATGTTGCATGCGTCACTCATTTTGGAAAATCCATTGAATCGTGAGGCCGTTACTCAGAAATCCAGTTGCCGGGATATTTTACCGTAGAAAAACAGTGATTTCCCAACTCACCGATTCTGGAGATTTGTATAAGGGATGTCCTATCCGACGTTCGTTGGATTTTCAAAATCCGGTATCAAGGATTTTTCAGCCATGTGGGTCCATTTCAGCGACTGTGTGTGTTGTCAACCTCTACATGTGCGCTGTTTCGTGGGATTGAGCTAACAAAGACCGTATCCAAAGCTGCAAGACAATTTCTCCACATTCTGAAACAAATTCTATTGGTATTCTCTTGGTACGAGAAAATGGAATATGCACTTTGTTGCTATTTTACTGGTTGTTGTCTAACGGATGATAAAGACTGCGCTAACAGACGTATCCGGAACACAACAAATGAGAACCACTCCGAGAGCAAATTCGACGGATTGGATTCTTCATTTCCAGTCCATTCCTCATAAATTTCGAAGCACAACCTTGAAAAGCGATAGCTATGCCCGAATCTAAGCCCCATCCACCAAACTAATATCATTATCCGACACCATGGCGTTCATCCAAAATGAGGGCCGTTCGGTCCATTCGGTCCATTCTGATTGGCTGGAAAGAAGTTCCCATTTGCATCTCGAAACCACATCTGGGACTGCTGAGGAACGTACTGCTGCTGCGGAGCGGGTTGCATCTGGGGAGCTGATGGATACACAAATTGTTGTTGCATCATCAAACCTTGCATCATGGCGGCCTGCTGCTGCATCGCAGCCATTTGACTCCACCCCATCGGCATTGGAATCGAGTATTGAGGCAGCTGTTGCATTTGCATGGGCACCAGTGGAGCTACTGCTGCTGGCTGATTGAAAGATTGATTTGCCGCAACTGGAACACTCGCACCCGGTGCCACCGCAACCGGAGCCACTGGAGCTGTTGCGACCGATTGATGAGATCCTGCCACGGAAACCATGGCGCCACCAGTTCCAGCAGGGGCGGATGCGACACTTGCGGTCCCCGACATCATTCCCTGTGTTGCAACCGCTTGCGCCTGAGCCTGGACAAGCTCGAGCAATTGTTTCTTCGTCATCTTCTTCAATACCTTGTCATCGGGAATGGCGGATGGATCTTCGGTCAACAAGGACGTCTCTTCTTCATCTTCCCGAGGGGAGCAGATTTCCTCCGGAACTGACTTCTTGCGGCCGCCTTCTGGATTTGCTTGACTTCTTCCAAACGGTGTCTTTTCCTTTTTGAGCTTGGCGCTTTGAGGCTCGCTTGGCGCGCGGCTTACCGCCACCGTCATCGATTCTTCGTCTGAAGTTCGTCGAGGTGGGCGTGGATTTCCGTCTTCATCATCAGATTCCACGGCCAAGTCTTTGTCAGAGCACATCAAGGCCTTGAGAGCAGTCGATCGACCTTCATCCACGAGACGTGCATAAGGGATCTGACTCTGTTCGCACTGTGACGGGCGAATTTCAATCGAGCAGCCATCGGAACCCGAGCTTGATGCATCTTGGTGATTCCATATGCACGAAGACCATGATTCGTAAACTTCTCAAGATTCGTGACTCCGATGGTTGTGCCAAGTTCTTTGGCCATCTTGGATACGGTATTGTGGCCAAGATTGTATTGAGCGGTATCACCCGACGGTTGGAACCAAATGTCACGATCCTTGTACCGGTTCAAGTGCACTTTGTGTTTGGTGAAATATTTCTTGTATTCCTTCTTCTGCCCTTCTGAGGCAACCTTGGCGAAGAATTTCTCGGCTTCTGGATGACACTTCGACAGATAAAAGTCGAAACACTTGAAAGCACACAACGGATCTCGAGGATTCTCGACGATTTCCAACCAGCGATCTTTGTCTGAAAGAGCATTGGAATTGTAGAAATTCAGTCGATTGGTTTTGTCTTCGGGAAGTCGGATTGCCAAATGCATACAACCAGCCAGGTCACCCATTTCGCGAGTGTACATCCCAGAATACGTATCCTGCACCATGAGACTCGACATTTCCTTACCTCCTCGAAGAAGAAAAGATCGGCCAAGGTGGAACACACAGACACGTTGAAGATCTTTTGGATTTGTCCACGGTTGAAGTCGTCCGTCTTTGACAGCTTCGCGGATTTTCTTGTCCGCTTCCCAATCAATCTCCGAATGATGACTGCGAATCCCAAATGTTGGATCCGTCTTGCGGATTTCCGCCCAAAACTGAATCATGACTCCATGGAAATCTCCTTTGGCGTTGAAATCCTCCTTGAAGGTGTACTGAAATTTGTTGTGCGTCATGGTTCTCCACTCGGTGAATACATTGTTAATGTATTGTGTGAAGACGGTGGGGGAGAGAGGCTTGCCTTTGTTGGTACCGGACAAGCACAACCATTTCATTCCGCACAAGATGGCACAATAGTTCAGGATTTTGTGCTTGTTGCGATCTTTTTCTCCACATACCACGTTGAAGAAAGCATAGTTGGTTGAGTGGCCTTGGTCATAATCGACGGGAACTACCTCAAGAAGACTGCTCAAGACGGATCCTCCATGCTCGCGGATTGTCTTGAAGAATCGCTTTTGAAGGCTCTCACATTTCTTCTCATACTTTCTGCCTCGTCGTCCTTGGTCCTTGCAATTTTCTAGAAGCTGTTGCTGTTGCTCTGTCAAGTCCAAGGTGGTAAAATCTCGACCAACACCAAGAGCACTGGCAATTGCAGCAGCATTTTTTGGTGGATTTTCTTGTGTTGGAGTTGGATGTTGGGGAGACAATGAGACTCTGGCTGGAGCTGGTGCGGGGGGACCAAAGTCAATGTTGGACCGAAAGGCAAGAAGATTTTCCACAACCACACTGGTTCCTTGAGTCATGACAGGACAATGGGGTTCGTCCTCATACAGGTGGCCATCTTCCTCTTCCAATTCCTCTTCCTCTTCGGCTTGGACTGTGACTGCGGCTTCTTCCTCTTCTGCTTGGAACGTGACTTCGGCTTCTTCCTCTTCTGCTTGGAACGTGACTTCGGCTTCTTCCTCTTCTGCTTGGAACGTGACTTCGGCTTCTTCCTCATCCTCATCCTCATCCTCGCTACTGCTGCTACTGGTGTCTACGGGTGGAAGCGTGAAGTCATTGTCGGCAAGTGGGTTACCGCGATCCTCTGTCACTTCTTCTGCCATTTCTTGGGCGGACGACGCAGAAGACATGATGACTACCAGTGACTACTAGTACTCCTGTACTCTCTAACAGTAGGGCTTATTTACTCGGGCTTTTGTCGAGTAGATTACAGACAAAGACCTCCCGCCTCATTGACGGCTTTGATCTTGATCTGGTGTCTCGGCTGTCGGATTTTTGCCCTTGGGCTTCGCCCTCGTGCAAAAATCCTCCAGCCTCGACTGGATCCACGATCTCAGCCTAAAATCCGCTGGCTCGCGCTCTCGCGACGAATCGTGTCGGCTACGCCTCCAAGAATTCTTGCGATCGCGCGCGCCATTGGATTTTCAATTTGCCGGGACGTTTTTCTACAGAATCTGCGGGAGAAGACGGCAAGACTACACGAAGAAATACCATTGTTGGCGACTAAGGAGTTACCAGGTGAGGATCTAGATAACACGTCCCAACAGGAAAAGGAAATAGAAGAAAGGTGCCACGGAGAATGAGCGAGTATCAGCTCGACCGAAGCACGACTCGCTACGATGTACTTGCTACGAGATCGAGCGGCCGACAAGACAGAAGAGTGGTATCCCTATCATTGAACAAGTGACACTGAATGGCTATTTCCCACTGAAATAGACGAGGAATTGGATATCTTTAATGGAAACGGAAAGATTCAATACCCAACTTAAAGAACTGAAGAAACTGACTGCTCTGTTCAAGACTACCTGCACAGAATCAGACGACAACCAACCACAATTCTTCCGTGGCACGTGCGTGTCCCGCTGGATGCGCCCAAGAAACTTACATCCGGACAATGAATGTACCTTTAGAACCGCACCTTGGCGGGCTTGTTGTGGGAAGCGGGTGCCCTTGAGAATGCGACAATCCACGGCCTTCGAGTGCAATCCATTGTGTGTCACGGGTAGTCTGACCATATTTCGGTTGCTGGTGCAGGTCTGGACCCGCTCTGGCAGCTACGGTATCTGAACAGAAACTCAAACAGTACCGACTGGAAGGCACGCTGGTTCCTTCCCAAGGAACGACACTCCCGTACTCGGTCGGGGTCGATTCCCAGTTTACCCAACAGCACTTTGCCGTGCCATGCGCACGTCACGAAACCAACCAATCTGCTTGGACGCTGCAGTTTCGTCACCACTTCCAGTTCTATGTTGCAGCATTTCCACCCGTCTACAGCCTCCTTCCAATCTCCTGAAGCCGGTGGTGGTGGATTCCGGTAGAACTCAGGCGTCCTTCATGACTCTACCTGCTGATACTGCCGAAGCCTAACTTAAGATTGGAGCAATGCAGGAAGTGCGATTGGTCGGACGGCACGTTTACATTCCTCTCTTGTGCTGGACTTTTGAATCCGGCCGAGAACCCCTACTGGTAGGAGATCCAATCGATTCATTCTTGGGACTGTGTTCTACTGTTTGTGTGAGCAGGAGGAGGTGGCGCCGGAAAAGGGACCAATGACAATTAAGAAGTGACTTTGGACAAACCAGCCACTTCCGCATCATCAAGCAGCAACCAGTCTGGTTCTACCACTGCATGGCTCTTATTCATGACCCTCCTTTGGGGGTGGTGAAGTGTATTCTCTCTTGTTCGTTCTTGTTTTCGTGTGGCGGGGGATCAAACCTAGAGTGGCACGGAAGCGAAAGGTGTCAAAAACTGGCGCTTGACAGGCCAGGCAGCCCAAGCAAATCGTCGGTGCCGCCAAAGCTTCCTTGCCCGACTGCAGGGGAAGCATCTCAACGTCGCTCCAGACGAGCGACAGAGTCACCCAAGATTGGTGGTCAGCTACCAAGACCAGAGAGCAGACACGAAGAAAGGGTTTCAGGCACGTACCTTCCTGCACTGATACGTCTACGAAACCGGTCCAGAACGCTTTTCACAAATTTTGTGTACAGGATGTCGGCACAGCTACTAATCCATGGGTGTGCCCACAGAGGTCTCCGAACATTACTATTTGTCTCTCGAGAATCGATAGAATATCCTTAGCTTGGCTTTTGAAGGCGTTGGGCCCAGTTTCCCAGCATGGAATCGGTGTCCTCTTCCGGCGGCACAACCCCCACCATCTTCTCGCTACAACAGAAGGCACAGTTCATTGTAGTCGTCCTGCCGAGAAACGTACCACCAGCAACCAGTTACTAGGGAAGGAGAGGGTGAATTGCACCGCACGTGGCAGTCACTGAAGGGGGGAACCTGCGAACAGGTGCACTCTATACCCCATCTACAAACATATAGCTCTACAACTTCTATGCAAATCACTGTTTCTTTTCTCATAGCTACTTGTCGGGGACTCATCTTTGAGCCCCCTTTACAATATTATTCAAAACTGTGCATTTCAGCAGAGCTCCACTGAAGACGGCACTTCCTTGGTCGATTGACTTCCTCTCAACTCAGTTGCACTGGTTCGTCTGGGCTTTTCAAAAGTGCTGTTCTTGATAGTCTGAAGACAGTGAAAGCTGTTGCTTGGATCCTCGTTGGCGCTGACTACCAACAGATCAAGGATCTCGTTAGGATGAAGGCTCGCGAAGGAATCATGTCGTACTAGTTGCCTCCTCTTTGCCCCCTTGTCAGCAGCAGGCATCAAGTCTCGGGCCGAGGAACCTCGACGCATGCGGCTGCTTCTGGCTCTGTTGATCCTGCCTCGTAGGCGGGAATGTTTCTGCTCCAAGGCCTTACTGGGTGTAGGATTTGCGGGAGATGTAGTGGTATCCATACTACCGTATTGTCAAATGAATGCAGCGATTGTGTTGTGAGAGGCTTGAAAGTACTCCAGTGTAGTGTTTTGTGAGCTTTCCCCGGGCAAATTGCCATTGGAGAGGCATGTCAGCTCCAGCGTTCGCCAGGTCAACACGGAGTTGAAGTCAGACAAGATGCCAAGAAGAGTGTGATAGTCAAAGTAGACTACCCCTATGCTAAGACCGAGCCAAAAAAAGACAGTCTCGAGTCCTGACATAGCTACTCGGTACTAGCTACTAGCTACTAGCTAGCTAGTACTAGTAGTACCGGTAGCTCCTTTTGCAGTTTTCGGTGCGGTGATAGGCACTCCGTACAGCCCATCTGCGAAGTGCTCCACCGAAAAGTGCACAGATCCCTTTACTTTACATGTATTTAAAGCGCATGGATGATAATGACTGAGGCTCTCTCAGCAGCATCCGGTACTATGTAGTACGGAGTCTACTGTCTCAAATAAAAAAACCGCTCGTGTACTCCAATACGGTATTAATAGACGCATCATAATGACTGTTTTTATGTGCTCTCTGTGTCCTATGTCCCGAACAATATATCCTGTACAAAAGATGGTCTTCTATCTGTGCAACGACTCTTGTGCCAGCAAGCCATGATTGCAGCTCTTGAAAAAAGCTTTTCAACGTGGCAGGCTTCAGGCCGAAAACAAATTGGTGTCAATTACATGTACATGTATGTACTAGTTTAAGGGTGGTTTTGAGACTTACACGTAGAACTCAGGTAGATCTCAGCACAAATGATTTGGCTCACAACCCACATTGGTGTCAAGGGTGTAAATGGCACTCACAAGGTTTAACACTTAAGAGGAATGAGAACCCGACAATAACAGCAAATCGAGCCAAAATCAGCCTCTTTTATTAAATTATACACTCGCCTTCTATGTTTGACCTATTAACACCAATACAAACAATAAAGCCTACTATCATTGGAGTTAATTACAGTGGTGTTGATCCACTTTTATTGGAGTTAACAGAAGTTGTGGAACACTTTACAGCCAGAAGAATATCTGGTGTACTGTTTTACTATAGGAAAACGGAATGTAAAATTTTCACGGCTCACGACTGCCCTTAAACTAGTAGTCTAACTCTGGAAAGTGTGGCAAAAGCTGAATTTGGCGAGGGAGGAGGGGAATTCAACACTTTGTAACTGTTGAAACCGGCAAAAGTGTTGAATTTTGATTCAACAACTGTTGAAAAAACTGTTGAATCTGATTCAACACTTGTTGAATTACTGTTGAATAAAGTGTTGAGATATGCACCATTATGACTAGCAAACTGTTGAATTACTGTTGAACAAAGTGTTGAATAGATTCAACACTGTGTTGAATAATATTCAACACTTTTTTCAACACTTTTGAAATTCAACACTGTTGAAAAGTGGAATCCGGCTGGAAATTCAACAGTTTTCATCGCCAATTCAACTTTTGCCACACTTTCCTGGAGTACTGGTACTAGCTAGCTAGTACTTGGCTTTTTGTTATCGGCTTCGCAACCTCTACGCACACAGATACCACCTAGCTAGCAAGCACGCTTTCATAGCAGCCGTCCATGCAGGAGGAGACCAAGAGAAGCCAGCCCACTGGCGAGAACCAGATTGCTGGCTGTGCGATAAGAAAGAAGCAAAACCGCTCTCTAAACCCCATGCTTTGGAAGGGGCTGGCACGAAAGAGTTCCTTTACTGCAGGTCGATAAAAAAAATCCTTTCGCCAGGTGGCTGGAGGCGAATCATCCTCCTTAGTCTACGCCCACTTGAACCTGGCTGCTAATAGCGTGTTGCCCTTGCCCTGGCACCGCACTCTCGCACTCTCTGGATGCCTGGCCACTGCTCCCATCGTTCAGTGTTTCTTCTAAAGGTTGTGACTTTGCTCAAAGTTTCCCTCGATCTACCTTGCTTTCCAACTGCAGTGCACAGATATGAATAGCATCGATCATTCGAATCATCTTATGGATCTTTTCGAGCTGCTCTTATCAATAGACGTGGGACGTCTAACTATTTATAAACAAGTTTAACTTGTTTTGCTCGTGAGGCAGACAAGGAAGCAAAGCTTTGTAATTCCTAAGGCCGGTCTCTACCGGAGCGACTAAGGCCGCTCTCTACCCGAGCGACTAAAGTAGGGACTAAAGGAATCCTTTAGGTGGTTGTTTAGTTCAAGATTTAGTCATTATCCTTTAGTAATGGTGGTGTCTACCACCAGATGACTAAATCTGGGACTAAACAATTTAGTCAAGTTTTTAGTCAAAACGTGGTGTCTACCCGGCCACTAAACAAATGACTAAACGTAACACTGCTGGACTTAGAGGACTCAAAAAGATTTAAACAAAGTGATCACTTGGTGGGCTACCAATATTCTATCAGCAAGGTGGATTTAAAGGACTCAAACAAAAGACTTAATAGAATTGATTACATTTTTTTGAGATAACAAGACTGAGATAACAAGACTCAAAACAAACCATTGCAATGCACCTCTCCTCTGTCGTTTGCACCTCTACTATTACTCCTCTTCGATCGTTCGATCGTCGATCGCACCTCTACTATCGGCCGATACTCCTCTTCGATCGTTCGTTCGATCGGTTGCACTCTACTATCGCCGATACTCCTCTTGGATCGTTCGATCGGTTCACCCTACTATCGGCGATACTCTCTTGATCGTTCATCGTTGCACTCTACTCTATCAGCTCTGTCGCGATGCTCTGATAGTGAGGCTGTGCAATGAGGCTGTAATCCTGTTGGAATTTGTAATCCTGTTGGAATTTGTTATCAAACTCGGTGGCATGCAGTCGTATTGTTTCCTGTTGGATTTGCTGTTCTTAAACAAGCTTTAGTCGTTATGCTCGCTCACCGACTAACGGGAGGCTGGTTAGTCGGTGAACGAACTTTGTGACTAAAGCCTTTAGTCCGTGGGACGTTTAGTCGCTTGGGTAGACACCACCCCCAGAGACTAAACTATTGACTAAACTACGAAATATGGCTTAGTCGCTACTTTAGTCGCTTGGGTAGAGAGCGGCCTAAGGGACCGACTAAAGGAATCCTTTAGGTGGTTGTTTAGTTCAAGATTTAGTCATTATCCTTTAGTAATGGTGGTGTCTACCAGCAGATGACTAAATCTCGGACTAAACAATTTAGTCAGTTCTTTAGTCATTTGGACCTGCCTACCCAGCACTAAACAAATGACTAAACGGAACACTAGTGGACTTAATAAAAAGGACTCAAACAAGATTTAACAAAAGTGATCACTTGGTGGGCTACCAATATTCTATCAGCATGGTGGATTTAAAGGACTCAAAAAAAGACTTAACAACTTTTGATGGCCTAATAGTGAGGCTGTGGTAATCCTGTTGGAATTTGTTATCCAACTGGGTGGCATGCAGTGGTATTGTTGGATTTGCTGTTCTTAAAGAGGCTTTAGTCCGTACATTCACTCACCGACTAACCAGCCTCCCTTTAGTCGGTGAACCAACATTTCCACTAAAGGCTTTAGTCCGTATGACGTTTAGTCACTTGGGTAGACACCACCCCAAGAGACTAAACTATGGACTAAACTACAAAATATGGCTTAGTCGCTACTTTAGTCGCTCCGGTAGAGACGGGCCTAAGTTAATAACAGCTTGACCTCCAGGCCCGAATCGAATCAAACAGTACGATACTCAGAGTTCGGCTGACTAGAAGACCCGTACCGGTATGGTACCGTATGTACCTACCGAAGCGTAACTGTACACGCCGACTACACTAAACCAAACGTGGGGGTCGAAATATCTTTTTTTAATTATACTTCTTCGATCCTTCTTCTCAAGGACCTTCTTCTCAAGCAGCACCGAATAGAGAATAGAAGCTCCCCGCTACCGGTAGGTAGCTAGTAGCCTGCATGCATACTATGACCATGCTGTTTGATTGCTTCACAGAACGACAACTTATCCGCCAAGGCTTTGTGGTCTGCATGGTCTGCTGTCTTTGGAATATGATTGGAGACCTGATTTATGCGCCCTTGTATGCGAGTGGAAGGGAAATCTTGTCGCCGCAACTACCCGTCTACCTGCATCAGACCGAGAACTCTCATGAGCTCCTCCTGTTGGCGCAAACATCGGGATGGATGTATCCCATTTGGGGTTGGCTCACGGCGAGCCAGTTGTATATTGGATTAAAGCCGTCCGAATCATTCTGGTGGAGTTCCGCTCCCTGCTTGGCCATGGCGTATGCCTTTTGTGTCATCGGAGGAGCACAGCACTCTGGTTGGGCCTTTCTCACAGTCCTGTGGCAATCAGAGCATCGAGAGGCATGTTTGCAAAATTCGAAGATTTGTCAAGCCTATTATGAAGACTCCCAGATTCGAATTTGGAAACACTTTTTGATGGGCGATCTACCGGCGCTGTGGTTGTTTGCATCGAGTGCATGGGTCTTTGTCAGCGTGATTGTCAATCAATCCAAGGGAATTTCCTTTCCTCTTTGGTTCAACCTTTGCAATCCACTAGCGACACAAGTCTGGGTAATGGGATTGACGTACTTTTTGGATCCTCCCGTCGCAGGACTTGTGGGTGGTCCCTTTGGGACATGGATGATTCTCACTACAAATCTCGGCTGTGCCTACTGTCTTTGGAATCATGGAGAAGACGACGACAACACCCAATCCAGCAAAAAGAAGAAACGAAACTAAATCTTCGATGTGTGGTTCTTTTCCCGATCTTGGACTCTTGGACTGCCTGGTGTGTGATGGTGCGTCAATCGTCACCTCCGTGAGCCGGTTTGATCAAGTTGGGCTTTTACATCCAATTTTGTGGTACACTACGCTGCACGGGTACAAGAAGCAAGCGACCGGAATATCAACGATCTGGGGCTTGTCCAGCAACGCAACGAGCTTTGGGTAAGCTAGAAATTGTTCGTTGTCCTACTCTCGAAGTGTTCTGTGGGTAAGGAGAACATGACCAAAAAGTCAGTGCATCAACAATGTACATGTCCAGTCATTTCCAAACCCAGTCAGTCTACCATGGCATACTTGCTTTATTGAAGAAGATAGGTTGTTGCTGTGAGCTAGTACCGTGTGCGCCTGTCTTTCCTCGCTGTGGCTGTTAGCTAGTACCCTACGATGGGTCGCCGTACGGTAGCATTTGACTTAACTGTCACTCGCCGCGCATGAAACACCTGCAGATTTTCACCTAAAAGTTGACACCGACGAGTTTACATGCATGTGTTCGCCTCTACCAGCGAAGAACACAAAACCACAGGAAATCACTCGAGGTATCCTCTCCTTGTGGAGCCAAGGTACATTACAGTACATCAATCATGAGTACAGAGTCAAAGCCACCCCACAGTTCGCACAAGAGCACCCCTTCCAGTCGGGGTTTTGAGGGAAAGTTTCGCTTCACAAGTTCAAGAGACTCTCCCTCTGCTTTGGCAAACCGCCACCATGGGAAGGAATCCCTTCATCAGCGACTTCGGTCTGTTTTGACTCATCCTCTGGGGGTGCCTTTGCTATATGCATTGTATAAACAAGAGCCCCCACCAGATGATCTCAAAGATATTGGCAGTTCTGGAAAGAATTCTCGCTGCTAGACTCCAAGTGGATCTTTCCAAACTTTTGGAGGAAACCGTGTCATCGTGGACGGGTGATGACACCGGGCTGACCACAAAGATAATCGAAGTGGCCAACAAAGCCCTGGGTGCCCACATCGACATTGCTTTTACCAAGGCAAAAACGAAAACAACTGAGGATACCACGGGTTGGAAATCTTTCTCAAGGAATCGAACAAAAAATTCACAATCAAACCGAGGCTTTCTTTTAAAAAACAAATACTTACTTTCAGATCCAGATTATGATAAGCAGAAGGAGCAGACAGCGAGAGTGACTGACAACAAAAAAGGAGCTACTGGAAGCCCGCCTCATATGTATAAGAAAGGAGAGGGCGGCAACGAGTAGACTACTAGGCCATCTACAATATTTTTTAAAAGGATGTTGGCAGCTACATATGAGACGATGGGTTCAAGAGTTCGGAGTAGCGAGGTTATCCACAGAAGCCAGCTCTCGCACAGTCAGTTAGTCAGTCGGTACGGTAGCTAGCTCCTCTGCTTTGCTACATTTTTACAGCTAGTTAGTTAGGCTAGCCTAGCCTAGTTAGGAACAATTGCAGTTGCAATCATTCTCTGGACAGATGAGTGCTGCACTGGTGGTACCAGTACAATCCACCACGAGAAAGAGTTCTTGTTCGTTTTGCGTTGTCAACTTGCAAATTTCGTCTGGTACACGTCCACTCAACTCATTTCGATCCAATTCCAACTGTCGCAACCCTGTCAATGCCCCCAGTTCACTTGGTATGCCTCCCGTGAGGTGATTGTTGTGCAAGACGAGAGTGTGAAGTCGCGGCAAGTTGGCCAACTGTACCGTGGGCAAAAAGTCATCCAATGATCCAGTGGCAGCGTTAGTATTGGTGACTTGTAAGTGCTGCAGGCCCTTGAGTAGCTCCAGTTCGGCGGGTAATACTGATGTACTAGAGTTGTTGTTGTTGTTGTTGTTGTGGTGCCAACCATCGAGTCGAATATCGCGAATGACTTGATCCAATTCCGTATTGACCAGCAGTCCCTGGTTGTGGGGGAGTGCTGGATAGCATACCAAATCGGTGGACCACTGACATTCCGACAGGGACGCATTGAGCCACTGATTATTTGTGGACGGATCTGGATTTTGTTGTTGTAGAGAAAAGAAGAGTGTGGCCAATGCAAATAGTTGTTGTGTCCTCCAGAGAGGCATGTCTTGTAGCACATCTGCGGGATAGCTGCTGCTGAATGCCAACCATAGATATGCTTTGGATTGTGGAGAGCGGTGATCGTCTAATTGGCGGACGGTGTATTCTGGAATTTCCATGGTGGCTCCGGTCCTTCCGAGATTGATCGTGACAAAGTCATAAATATTGCCGTGGGTGGCGGGCATGACATCAATGGGTGGCAGAGAGGTGACATCATCATTATCGCGAGGGGGTGCCGTGGTAGTAGTACTGCCAGGAGTGTCTGTCGTCGTCGTCTCAATCGTCATTAGAATCGAGTCATTGTCTTGTGGTTGTTCTTGACTCTGGTTGCTGTTGTTAATGTCGTTGTTACTGTTGTTACTGCCGCACTTGTCATATAGATTGCACACGACGACGGGCACGACAATGGCAGCTAGAATGGCGAGACACAAGATGCAGAGACAGACTTGTCGTGCGTGAAGTGCTGATTTGTGGTTGTGGTTGTCTTGAGTGTCGAGCTCGTCGTCTCCTTCTTGTGGTTGATGTTGATATTCCCGTGGCGTTGCATCCGACCATCCCGAGAGCCTCGAGACAAACCGTTTGGATTTGTGGTGGAGGTAGACAAACAAGCCTTGGCGGTCACTACTACTCTTCTTATCTTGAGGCAATCCCAGTTCTTCAAAATGATCTTGGATTTCCACTTCAATATTATTATTATTATGATCTTCCCCCCCTTTGTCTTCTGCTTGTTCTGCTTGTTCTTCTGGTGGTGGTGGTGGTGGTACTGGTAAGTAGTGCTCGGTAGGAAAGTCGGCTGTGAATGTGACCCACGTATCTTTCTTCTTTTCTACTTGTTCTTCTTCTACTGGCTGCTCTTCTTCTTTTGGCGGCTCTGGTTTGTCTTGCTCCGGAGATCCACCGCTCGTAATGGTGGTGTTGTCCGTGACAGCTACACTGATCAAATCCAGCAAATTGGGTTGGCATTGACTGATTTCCTGATCAAACGCATCGGCGGCTGCTTCGTCGTCTGGTTGTGGTACTTGTGCCAACAAACAGGTACTAGTACCGCTTAAAAGCTTGGAGATGGTATCCGAAGCGTTCCGTTTAGGATCACTGCTGGCAGTGCCGTTGCTGTTGCTTGCGGCAGGCCAAGTGCGGCTTCGTGGAGTCGTAGATGTAGACATGGTCAACTAGACTAACTGTTGGAGCGAAAGATCGAAGAAGGAAAGTAAACAATGCGAAACAATTGCAAGTGCCACAAAATGAAGGGTTCTCGAAAGTTGGATATTTTGTGCGCGGAAGGGGCGTCACGCTTTCTGCCACGCACGAAGTAATCCACGACGTGGAACAGTAAAGTAATACAGTTAAGCTGTGTAAACACCAGAATTCGGAAAGCGTTTGATGCTGCCACAACAGCAATCATCCCATTGGCACAACCATGACCATGACTGAACAGAACGTACAGTGGCAACATACTACCTCGAATTGAAGAGATAGAAGACAACTCAATTGGCTGTAATGGCAGTCTCCCGGGCAGTTGGTTTCCTACTGCTCCTGGGATGTGCTTTGGTCCTGCTCGACTCTCGCACCATGCAAAGACTGCCATGGTCTTCCCAGAACATCACAATCACTTCGAATTCGAATGACACGGAACGGCGGCAAGGGACTCCATCATTGCTGCTGGTAGATGACAACCAAACCAAACAACATCCCTCTTCTACTACGAGTCCATCATCATCATCGTCATCATCATCATCATCACCAGCAGAAGAACCCATGATGAGTGCGGAGGAATTTCGCTCTCTGATCTACTACAACTTTTCCTGTCCCTTTGAATGGTCCAAATACTCGTGTGTCCATCAAGGACAAACAGAAAAGGCAGCCGCCTCCCGAGAACTTCTCGTGGAACATCGGCACCTCTTTCACGAACTATTCTTTGCTCACTCGTCACCGTTTACTATCTTGCCACCCAACACGCGCATTACACTCACGGGAGATTCCATTGTGCGACAAGTCTTTATTGGCATGGCCTGTTTTCTCACGACGTTTGCCAACACCATTATTCAACACGCCCATGCGCAATGGCACCCCACGTGGCCGTGTCATGGCACGCAACATTGTGTCCATGGTGGTGTCCATTCCGGATTTCCAGTGGCATCCATGCTCTTTAAAAATGGAGCCGAACTGCATTTTGTGCCTCATCACGGATGCACGCGTCCGCAAGATCAAGAACCCGACATGTACGCTCGCATGTACCAGGAACTGACGACAACCAACAACATTTCCTTTAGCCCAAAGGTAGGATCCGCACTGCCCACGCGTCTTGGACCCTTTCTTTCTTCGAGCAAGGACATTGTGGTGTCCAATATTGGATTGCATTTCCCACCCGATCAAGCCAAAGCTACGGCACAACTCTTGGCCAACTGGACCGCGCAACCATTTGCTCCCCAACTCTGGTACGTGGCCACGCCCACACAACACTTTCACACGTCGAATGGACAGTTTGTTCCCGGTCAAAAGGACGACCACGGCTGTCGGGATGCCGTGCCCAAAAATCCACGCCTTGAAATGGAACGAAAAGTCCTATTGGGCAACACCAATATTCCACTATTTTTGGAATTTGAGGATCTCGAATGGGGATGGTTTCACGTGGGAAATGGAGATTGTTCTCATTACTGTCAACCGGGTGTGCCAGATCTAGTGGCATTGCGCTTGTTGCGAGCCTTGGCGGGCTTGGCGGGGGAAACAGTGTCGGATTCATCATAAGGACGCAAATCTACAGTACTATACCAGTCATGCAGTGTCGCTGCCATGTCAATCATCAAGACATTGAATGGTTACGGTACGGTGCGGTACAATCAATGAAGCCGAGCTCTTGATCGACGAATCTTCATTCCGTGCCATCTCAATCGCCAGAATTGAAGCATGGCAGTCCCTCTTGCAGCCGATCCCTTTGCCCCAGAAAGGACTCAACTCAACTCTCAGCTCGATGGATCAAATTGAATTGAATTGAATCGAATCGAATCCATCATGCATTGGTCTGCTTGGCGATGGCACCCCCGATGAATTCGGCAGACCACGCATGATAAACGAAATTTTGGATAAGTCTGCAATGGGTCAACAATCAACCGCCCGAGCATCGCCCGAGCCACTCTGATACACGCCCTACTACGGTACATCGTAGAAATCCCAGGTTTATCAATAAAGGGACATGCAATATCGTATTCGGTGTTAGCTAGAAGGGCTATGTATACGTAGTCAAATTGGGCCTGCATTGAAACGAAACTGGGAGTCTGTCCATTCAAATTTGAATGCGGTTGATAGGTAAACGTCCTGCAAACAATGAAACATCACAGTTGAGAAGTGCAGATATTTGGACTCTTCCGATGTCAGCTTTATGAAGACAACTCGTGCAGAGGCTCCGTAGCCTTCCGCTTTCGTGAATCCCGGCGTTCCCGAGGGTGCTTCTGCCGGCTCTGACCGCTGTTTGCAGCTGGCTGTGCTTCTTTTGACGACCATACCACCGGCTGTTCGCAGAGTAGCCCATGTTGGAGAATTGTGATTAGCTCCTGTTTGGACCCACCAGGAAAATTGAGGTGGTCTAGTTTCTTCCAGATGGTCTCAGGAGAGATCAAATCAACCAGGTGCCCGAGTCTGGTGCCTTCTGCTCCAGCGTTGCCTCGGCCACAAGTATTCAAGAGTGTTTTGTAGTCAACGAGTCTCTGTTTGCTGTTGACTTCTTCACCATTCAGGAAAGATTCTTCGTTGATATGATCCTCCATTGCCTGTTTCTTGTTTGCAAAAAATAGAGGTAATGTAAGATCCACACAGATCAAAGCCACCTCCAATTGAGTGTTGAGACCAAGTAGCTCTAGCATTTTGTCCTGGTAGATTTCAACTTCTGCTTGATTCTCCAAGTTCTGCAGTCTCAGCTCAGTCAAAGTATCAGAGTGGTTGGCAGCATCAAGTAATGGCAACAACAGCCCAGCTTCTGCAGTGCCACAATCCACTTGAAGGGCCTCAGATTCCCCTGTTTCATCAAAGCACAGAGGCATTGGCACAGCTCCTTAGTAGCTTTCCATGGGTTATAAATGCAAATATCCAACCGTACTAGATGCTTCATCTGGAACAGGAAGCTGTGGATTGAAAAGTCAGGTTCATGCTCGGTGTCATTGTATTCAATGGAAAATGAGGTGATTGGTGAATTCCATTCACTTTCTTCCAAGGCTTTTCTTAGTGGGCCAAGTATTTCCTCTACTGACCCATTGCTCGCAGCTTCCTGAATTGCACCAGCAATGATGTGCACCTTGGTGGTGATGTTGTTGGCTCGGAACAGCATAGCGAGCAGCTTCGTAAACTCTGATCTGGACAGCTCAGTGCGACACATGAAAAAACAGCCAAGTTTCTCAAGAATCCTTCCGATTGCTCTCATGGAGCGGTCATCATCCAGAGTTGTCTTCATTTGCTGGCAAAAAGTAGCATCTGTGGGCAAATCCTTGTTGCTCCTCAAATCAAAAGCTCTATCTTCTTTTGGCATGTTTCGAATGATTGAATCCAGCAGATTCTGAGGGAAAACTGTAGAAAGTAGTACAATGCTCAGTGCACAAAACGCATAGTTTCCATCTGAGTTCACCAGTCCCTCTGGAAATGTGTGCACAAGGTCCGTAAGGTTCACAACAGCCTCGGCTGCAATCTCACGGCTGGACTGCAGCAAAGGTATGGCATCCAGGAATCTCTTTGCCACCAATTCGCAGATCCGAGCTTCACTGAGTTCTTTCTTTTTGACAAGAAATTGCAAAACCTCAAGGTTTGCTCCACAGCTGAAGGCATCCTCAATGACACCATCCGTGAGCGCCAAGGGATGGAGTTCATACACAGCTTCAACAGACGTCAATGAAGCTTGCGAAATCGCCAGCACATGCAGGTCAGAAAGGTCGCGCAGCTGAAGAGTGTTCCATAGGGCTATGTTGCTTGTCATCTTTACTGTGTTGTCTTGAGGCAACTCACAGGAGCAGAAGAAGACGCGGCTTGGGCTTGTGATGTGATGCGTAAGATGCGGTGAGAGTTACCATCGAGCCATCGAGAGGATTGAAGGGGTGCTGATGGCTGATTTCGCGCCATTTTCTTCTTCGCGCGTGTCGGTGAGTACCGGTCTGCAATTTTCCTTCCAAGGATTGTTTTACGGAATTATCCGTCAAAATATCACGTTTCAGTTGTGTTTACACTGATTTATCATTTTTTAAATTATTCAACTCCAAGAACGAGTACTAGCTACCGGTAGCTAGCTAGTAGTCTAGCTAGACCTAGTTTTATGAAACAAACGTAGTAAACAATTACGCAAACCAGAGTTCAAACCTCAAATCCGTGTTGTTGCCGATGATGCCCGGTGCCACCCGAGGCAATAAGCAATGCTGGCAGCTCCTCTTCGCCGCAGAGACACATGGAAAAGGGGGCAGCGGGGTACCGGTAGTATCTACTGTACCGAAGCTGGTAAGGCAGAGCTAGCAATGGAGGCTATCTATTCAAGCAAGTTTTGTCGGCTACCAGGTATGCTTCGATTTTAGAGTTGTTAAGGGGCGCTATGAAGCGTGTGCATGACAGCTGGAACGACCAGCAAAGGTCCACGTTCGTTGACAGAAGTACAGAAGCCCAACTGGCAACTAATGTGTGCATTTTGTTTGAGACTATTGAGTTGGAACAGAGATGGACCCCCCAGATCCCGCTTTGCTTGTAATGATGCCTCCACCTGCAAGTGGATGAAAGACAAGGTTTGCTTGTGGGTGCGTCTCTCCTCAGTGAAACGTGGCTGATCGCTTGATTGGCTTTCGTTTGGATTTGCCACTGGACTTCTTGCTTTTGGTGTCACTGGTATTCTTGATGGTCTGAAGGCAGTCGAAGCCACAGTCCAGGTCTGCTCGCTGACCGCAAGTCTCCAGAAGATTAATGATCTCATGTGGATCCATGCTCTTCCTCAGCATTGTGTTTCCCATAGAATGTCGTCTCTCCTTCTTCTTGGTGGGGCGACTTGTGTCGGCCGCTGCGCTCGGGAGCCTTGATACCCGACGAGACTTATTGTTGGGGCCATCGATTTCAGATCGGCTTCGGAGAGGCAGTTTCTTTTTGTGTTCTTGCATAGCCATGGTGCTGGTTTTGTTGGCGTGAGTTTGTTGGTTAGTGGTGTGGTGGGCTGGCTGATTGCAGATTTAAGTTTCTGGAATTGTGAGTGTGAAAAGAAATCAGTTTGATACTTTCTTTTTGGTTTCCAATTTATTTCATGTCTTGCCCTTTTCCGTTTCGGTATTGGGAACAACGGCATACGGCATAGCAACATCCCAGCACCCAGCACACACGCACACACACATAGCCCACAACAAAACGCACGGGTAGCCCACAGCAAAACCAAAGTAAACTGTGAACTTTTACTAGCTAGCTAGTACATCGATCACGGTGGAAGGCTCGGCCCTCGGCCCACGACGGTACTGGCAACTGGCAACTGGCAGACTACTGAAAGGACGTTGCGTGCCAATGAGTCGTTTATGCAGCTTTTGAAGAAAGCTTCTGCCTCTAAGTCAACAAAACTGATTTGGACTGTCCAAGAATCCCAAGGAAAGAATTTATTTATGATTGACTTAGCTATTGACTTTCTCTTGTAGTCTACTTCCCAGAAAATTCAGAGCACTTGGGCAATCTTTTCAGTAGTTTAATTAAACCAAAGATGAAGCAAACCAGCAAACCTACAACCAATCATCTTTCTTTTTAAAATCCTGTTTGCTTCAGTTTGGTATGGGCAGCGTAACAGGATATAATGAGTTGACTCCAATTGTCCGACTGATAAAACCTGAGTTCTCTCAGACTGGCTTACTAGCTTACTAGAAGCTTTACATGTACTAGAACAGCTCAGTTAGTTCCGGTGTACGGTAAACTCGCCAAGTAAGTCTGCCCAAGGCAACCGATAGGCTGTGTGGTACGAGTAGCTGTAAAGGTCGGTGCCACAGTTGCCGCTACAAGATGAGCCTTCTGTGTTCTGTGGATCTAGCTAGCGAGAGGTAGGTGCAAAGCTGGCAGCAACCTAAAATCGCAGCGACTTCTAGGCTTATAGGCTTATAGGTGAAGCAGATGCCAGAGGGCTGGACACACCGGTATGAACGTGCAAACTGGTATCAACGAGGACAGCACCAACGAGGACCAAGAGGTACACAGAAACAACTAGCAACTGACTTTGTAGCTACTACAGTCGTACGATGATGCTGGATCAAGTAGCTACGACCAAAGGATCTAAATCTTTCTACTTCTGGATCCAAGATCAGATTGGGTCACAGCATGCCCTACTAGCTAGCTAGTCTAGCTGCCTAGTGTTTGCCCTATCCTCCGATTGGTTATCCTTCACTACCAGGAGAGGATCAGGCACATTCCAGTGGCCGAAGAGCCAAGTTCCAACGGTAGCTTCTACAAGAATCCATATTTGCCATCCAGCCGGCGATGTAGTTCGGCTAAGTTTCACTGCCATCATGATTGGATTGCACACTCGTTGCTTGGATGCCTCATGCAGTGCCGGAGCTAGAAGCAACTATCTAGCAACGCAGACAGATCGTGGTGCTCGCTAATGCTACGAGTAAAACCATCGTACGCGGAAAGAAGGATGCGAGACGAAATTGAAGCTTGTGCCCTGCAATGGTTGAACGGCTTTTGGCTCTTGGCCAAGATCGCCGCATCAGCCGTCCGTCCATGAGTCACCTCTATCCACCCTACGCAGAATCCCAACTTTGACGACGTGCATCGACGCGATCATTACGGTCATCGTGACTTTGCCCTGCCAGTCCAGATCGTTGCATTGCTCTCGCTCAGTTCTAAAGGTTAGGTTGTAGCGGTACATGCACGGTACCGTACGGATCGGTTCGATCCCACCACGCACCGCAAACCGTACCGGCACGCTCAAGCTATGAAAACAGTTCTGGGTGCTGAAACCAAGTCATTTGAAACAGTCCTCACTTTCGAATAGGCTAGGCTCACGTCGTCTACCGCATCTCTTCTTTCGAGTGAGATTAGCGATTGTTGGTCCTTTCCTTTCCCACATACTTGATCTGGCCTGGCAGACCCAGAAAACAACCCCCGTAAATCAACATGATGCTGACGACAACGTTGATCATAGCCAAGACGACCACGTGTTGCCCGGTCGTTCCGAGAATTCTCGGTACTACGGTGGTTTCTCCTTGGCCATTCAAACAGCAGCAGTCACTGTATCCATTACCTGAGCAAAGAACGCTCCCAGAGCATTGTACCAAGAGCTCTTTAGGTGCATATTGTCCCGATGTGGGTATCGTTTGGACGCCGCAAACACATCCACAATCGTCATTCGATGCTTGGGTAGGATTTTGCTGTTCTGCACCAAATCTTCTGTCGCTCGATTCCACGCTCGCGTTCGTTCGACTGTATTCTTGGAATGATACAATGAATTAGATGTATCATTTTTCTGGAGTGGTGCCGTATTGTGCAGCAAAATGACATGAGAGCAGACCGGAAATAATGTTTTGTTGTCCAATGCAGTGTCAGCCTTCTTTTGTTTGTCATCCAGAAACCCAGGAATCAAAAGCAGAGACAAGAACCATTCGGCATTGACCAGAAACGTTTTCAACGCAATGTTGGGAATGCCCATGTCATGAGAACCCAACGAGATAATACAAACGGGAGGGCCTCCAAACGTTTCCCTGATCCATGGATCGGCCATGTAATGGTCTTGCAAAAAGGCCACCAAATTCTCTTGGGATGTCCCGTACTTGTGCGTCTGAACTTCCACATCTCGTGCAAAATCAATCGAGAAAAAACCTCCATAATATAATAGTTGTTTGTTGTTCTCGTTCTGCGTCCAAAGCAGATTGTTATTGTTGTTATTGTTATTATTGCATTGTGAGGTTGGCACGTACTGTCGTCGCTGACACAAGACAAACTCGGAAAAGATTCGACTGACATCTTGACAATTGGGATGATTTCGGGCCCATATAGGACCTTCCCCTAATGTATAATTGGGAGGGTTCCACTGGTCGGAGTGAAGTGGTGGGTACATGTACGCTTGGTTCAAATGACACCGTTGATGCGTTCGATTATGGCACATTAGGACGGATGGACAATAATAATGGGCTTGTATTTGTTTGGCCGTCGAGAGCTTTTTCTTGAGTGTTGTGGATCGCAAAAAGAGATTCCCCATGGTGGAGCCTCCAATCAGTATCCAGCGGCGGGGTGTAGTAGTAGTGGTACTAGTAGCTGGATCATAATCAACGCTGGACGCTCGAATCCGTTCTTGCAACAATTTGGTACAAGTCGAATCACGATAGGCTGCGCCTTGCTTGTTGAATGGGTCTGTCTTGGAGGGAGCCCATGTGCAGGAAGCCACGTGTTGTGGTTGTTGGTTGCCAACGGCAAGCTTTTTCTGTAGTGGCAGGGAACTGTCCTCGTTTGTTGGCAGGGAACTTTCAGACGCTGCGATGCTTTCCTTATTGACAGCATCCTTGACAGAATCTTCACTGGAAGAATTCTTGTAGACATCAATGGTTCGTAAGTCTGGACATGTGGGGACTACTGGTACTTTCACAACATAGACCACCACTAGCAAGACTACCATTATAATCAAGAGACTGCGAAACTTGTCCGGATGGAGGTTGCCAGAGCTCTTGACGCCATTGCGCTTCGGAAAAACATCTTCTTCTTCTTCTTTGCAGTAGTTGCCGCGAACAGAACGGTGATACGAGACAGGTGGGTCCATTCTTTGAATTCTGATGCCGTAGCTATCTTTCTTGTCTCATGTCCTCAGGCACTCTTGCCTCTTGGTTGCCTCTTGCAACAGATACGGGTATCTTGTTGTGCAAGCAAACAAGCATCGAAATGTTGAAAAGGTGTGAACTTGAACGCACAATTTCTCTAATTTAATCAATATCCTTCCAGCTCTACTGTCTAGTAGACTGGCTATTCGTTCGTTTTCTCTTTCTCTCTCGTTCAGATTGTGAGCTCTACAACTGAGCTCCGATATGCATACATATACCAGGATCTTTCGATCCTCTGCTTCTCGCAGTTTCATCTACAGATAGATCTCGTCGATCTATCTTCCTGAAGTGCATGGTTGGCCCTGGAGGGCTTTCCACTTTACTAAACCTATGGACTTTCATCCGTCCATTCATTTTTTCCATCCCGTCGCTCCTGCATTCATCTCTTCGACCTACTCTTCCTAACCTTTGTATTGCATCATCTAGACGACCATTGTCCTCGTTCCTCGTACACCTGGCCATCTGATGATGATCGGATAACCATCTGATTTGAGTCACACATCCCCAATCACGAAACGTGATTGTGGATCCCGAGTCGTCTGTCCGTCATACGAAAATACCTTTTTTTTTGTTTTTTCGCGATGATGGCAGCACCTTCTTACCAACTCAACCAATTGCTCCTTGTCTCCTGTAGTTTCGGGCATGTCTGTCGAGGGTCTCGAGCGTTGACATTCTGGTTCCAATGTCGCTCAGTTGTCTTCCGAGCGAACAAAATCAATCTTCACTAGGCCGTCCTGCTGCATTTGGTTCACGTAGTGCACCTCGTATCCATATGCCTTGTTCGACTTGCACTTGTCTTGTTCTCTGACATAAAGATGCACCTACGTTATCGATCTTCACTTGCACAGGTAGTTCCACGTTGATCTGTAGGAACTTCAGAATCTGCGCGTGAAACGGGACTTCTCGTACTGCTTCGCCACACCGTAGAACTCAGCTTCGGAACTCGACAATGCTACGACCTTCTGTAGCTTGGACTCCAGTGAATGAGTACACCTTCGAGAAAGATCATCATGGACGTGACTGATCTTCTGTTTTCTTGTCTCCGGCCCAACCGAATCCGAGAATACTTCCAATTTCCACGGTCCTTCGTTCTTCTCTGGTCTCATCAATAAGTCCACGGTTCCTGAGTCCAACACGTACTTTACACAGCGTAGAATTTCCTTGTACGCTGCCGGCGTTGCGCATCCCAAGACCTTAGCTAGCTCTCGTACTGCGTTCGAGATTTCTGGCTTGAATGCTTGATAAGGTACATGAGAATGCCTACTCCTGTTCGATATCTGCTCTGTTGTTCTTCAGCGATCCATTCACTCTGTTCGTCTGTCTTACTATTCCGAGTCCAGGTGTTCCCGCAGTCTTGTACTTGGTAGCTTCTGACCTCCCCTCCGAATGTGGTTTGAATCTTCTTAATATGTGGGGTTGTCCCACCCATGCAGCATCTTTTCGGGGATTCATCCGAACTCACAGCTCAGGTAGTCCGTGAGTTCGTACTCTATGGTCATGTTCAAGCCTCGATCTTTAATACCTTGGAAGCACTTCCTTGATATCGTCTTCTCTCCAATGGTGAGATTGCATCCACGTAACATAGAATCACGCATATCTTCCATTCTTGTTCCGCATGAAGAGGCATGGATCACTAGGACATGTAACGAATCCTAAGTCTTCCAAGACACTCGCAAACTTCAAGTAGTACTGTTGTGCGCTCTGGCAAGCACCGTAAGATGGTCTTGTCCAGATATGACACATTCGTCGTCTTGGTGTTCTAGTCCTTTTGGCAGTCCATGTAGATGACTAGTCCATGTCTCCATGTAGGAATGCTGTCTCAATATCGAAGATAATTGCCTTCGCTCTTCCCATCTTCTTTAGTAGTAGAATATAAGATGATGCGGAAGGTGTTGTCGTTAGCCACCGGACTTTAGATGTTGTCAAAATCAATCCGGGTACTGACTGGTATCCGCAGGCCACTAATCTAGCTCTGAATCTTCCATTCCGCTTGATTTCCAGCACCATTTGTGTTTGACACATTGTCTCCCTTCCTCCATTCTGTATCTCTTGATCTTGCGCCAGACTTGAGTTTCTCCATCTTGTCTAGCTCGGCTTTGA